TAAATAAATAAATAAAATAAAATAAAATAAAATAAAATAAAATAAAATAAAATAAAATAAAAAAGAACGTATAAACCGTTTATAATATTGGCACACCACTCCTATTTGCTGCAACTTGTCCATGGAGACATGAATTTTTTCCTCAGAATTGTTGCAACTATTTATGCATGTTGCCGGTAATTTTCTGATAATATATGACCAACAGTATTTTTCCGTTTTTTTTATTACAAAAATTCCACATTTCAACAACATTTTCTTGTTGCAGATTATGCGTGTTGCGCGGGCTCATTAAAAATTCTACCATGAGTAATAGTTATCCTTATATTAATCACCGTATTAAATTGTCGTCAAAACGATCGGGAAACTAGTGGTACCTTGTACCATATAACAAAGGATGACATTTTCAATTTTGGCGTCACACGATTGGCAGTAGTAGTCTCCTTCCTCCAAGTCAGATAACTTGAATGCAAACAGTGAAAGGTTCCCTTTTTAGTCAAGCATCTGAATGTTGCCTCACCTCATCGAATGAGTTTTAACTTTCTTGCTTCGTGAAAGAAGGAAACTGTTTTCACAAGTTTTAACGCCATTTACATATGATGATTTTTTTCTTTGATTGCTGTATGCATACGTACCATTGGCTTAAACTAGACGTAAACTACATGGGGGTGATATTAGTATTGCACCACCTGTGTAAATAGTGCTATAAATGACGTGTTGGCATCTAGGCTTTTATTCCCAGCCTAATTTACGCCTCAAATTGATCATCTTTTAAAACTATACTTTAAAATTATATATTGTAAGCCTCGTGTTTGCAACACGCAACACCAGAGTCCCCCCCCCCCCAAAAAAAAAAAAAAAAAATACGCCGGCCTATTAACTCTTTTTCTCAAATGATAAGATGCCATACAGTCCAATTTGACTGTAATCTTTTTCTTTTTGTCCAGCATCTTCTCCTCCATCATTCCAGTCTTTAAAAACCACTGTGCAAAGGAAAGTATAATTTACAAGTACGCCTACGAATTATGTCCACGTTTTCTCTTCGCCGGCTGCCATCTTCATCAGCTTCACTGTCATTTCGGCATATTTGAAGGCGTTCGCTTCGCACACCCTATTGGTCCCGTAGTCAAGATTGTAACAGAAGCGACCGCGGAATTTACGCAGGTAGTGATAAAACGGTTTGGACAAATTCTGCATCGCGGAGGAGGAAACTATTCTCGCGGCATGAACATTATCGTCTGCTTTTTCAGGAGGATACAACTTGTCACAGTCCCCCATATTCGAAGTGCCAAATTCATATTTGCATATATTAGATGCCATCAATCGTTTCACGCTGTTATCGTCAGGAACAAAGTAGTTGAACATTTTACAACCTTCTATTGCATCTCCGTTATTCAAACTATTGTGAAGTGTCCGTTTTGAACTCTTGGCTAGTTCCCAAAATGATCGATAGGTGACAGCAGCAGGAACACTCACTGTGAGGTGAACCGAAGCAATGAGAAGACCGAACGCATTTTGAAGCTCAGGTGGCATGAAACGTCGCATATTAACCATATGGGATGACGGAACATCTATTCTACATGGCGTTTTTCCTTCGTTTATGGCATTTACTAGAGCCGTGGATGCAGCAGCCACCAAAAGGCCATGAACAGTTGTCTCGCATTCCTTGCATTTTGCTATGATTCTTTCCGTTTCTAAAATCGTGAAATGGAAAGCAATCGTTTTTGTGTGTCCCTCGTCTGATTTTGGTGGTGGTGGAAAACACTGCAAGTACTGACTGTGGTAAGGAAATAAACTGTGTATGTGTTCTTTTATTACTTGGAAATAGTCTCTCCACTTGAATTCCAGCTTGTCTTGGGGCAACAACGCCTCCAAGTTCCGATGAAATGTGACGACTTCATCATCTTCGATGGATTCTTTCTTTGTGACCGCGTTAAGGATTTGAAGCAGTTTCTTCAACATCAATATATCTGACATTCCATCGAATATAGCATGATCAATGCCAAACACTACTACTGTTTCAAAACCACCCGAGGCACCTAGAGTAGATTCCACTTTAGGTGCGGCGTCACATCTCCTGGGTATGCGCAAAACCTTTATCTTCCAAAGAGGGGCATTTTCTTTACCAAATCGCACGCGCATCATATCCTGGTGCACAGTTTTCCAGTCGTTGTCTGACGTCACATCCAAGACCTCAAAATCCACATGGGGATGGTCTATGTACTTAAAGTACCTCTTGCCGTCTCTCCATTCTATGTTTATACGAAGGTGTGGGATGTTTTTCTGTAGCAGCTCAAGTGAGGTTTTCCAAACATCGTCTGAGATGTAGATTTTCGAGTTCATCCACGAGGTGAAGGCAATTGTTGTGTTCTTACATTCATGCATTGTTTCGAACGCGTTCTCAAACTGCCCAAGCAGGCGAAGCGCCCCCTTGTCAGAAAGGGAAAGGGATGTCTGGGCCGCCATGGTCACCTATCCGTTTGAATCAGGTTTACTGAAATTTGAAAATATAGTCCTCTTTGTAATTTAACCATTTTAACTAAGTAAAAATCTTGAGTTTCCCGTCGTAGGCCTACTTATAATCTGGGAGGCAATTAAGCTTCAAAATCCTACGATGGCAGGCCTAACATATTACCAAGCAACAACCTTATACGTGCCAAATTTATCCCAGTGACCCCCCTCCCCAATGCTCACTAACCAGGGCATAAATTTTTTAAATATTATAAGCTCAGTGCCTGTTCATACTGTAGGCACATTTGGGACGCAGAAAGGCAACATTTGTATTTATGCTCAGTTTACATAAAATAGGCCTACATGTATATACAAAGCAGGCATCAATTTAGCAAAGTCTGTTGGATTTAGCTTTGAATACGTATAATCAACAAAGAATTCACCATTAATTTCTCAAACGACACAAGAAAGCAAATTAAACCAAATGAACTAGACGGTAAACACTGGCAGGCTCTGTCAATTTCGCACGCATGCGCAGATGTTTTATACCTGTGCTGTGTGCTCTCCTTTGAGACCAAGTGCCCATTCGCAGACTTTACGTTGTAGGCCTATACGTCTTGAGGGCGCAGGCAAACGTCGGTGAACGTTCGAATACCCGGAGGGAGATTAAATGTTTTGAGCATGTTCCAAAACAATCCCATACGCTGCTTTTATTTTTATTCTTATATATATGCTGTAAACAGGGTAGCCTGCCCTGGTGATTTCATACGCTTGAAAAACTGTTTATATAGTGGATGTCACATACGAAACTCATACGTACCTCTTTACGCTAGGTGTGAAAGAGCCTTTGCATCAGTGTTAACCAACATTCCACCAACGTACAATGTACCTGTATGATATTCAAAGCATAACACCGATATGGCGGTGACCTACAGGAGTGTGACCTAAAAAATGTGCTTTAAATAGCTTTTGTACATGTACCAATTACAAGGCATTACAGGCATTGCAGGATGTGTGCTGCCATCTATAATGTATTTGTGTAAATTGTGCCCTGCAATGTACCAGTAGGGCCTATATACTCGTGCTTGCACGTATTCCGTAATCCCGTGAGTCAAAATTGGTATTGTTATTCGATTTCTCTACATAGCCATGCCTATGCACGTACATTGCGTGTTGGCACATGTATGGCTACGTGTACGTGAAAAAATTGCACGTACAATAGGGTGGTATTGTGCTTTGCACAGGTAATTCCCGTCTTACGCTTTTCTTACACCTGCAGGATTTTTAACCCCCCCCCCCTTCCAAAAAAAAAAAAAAAAAAAAAAAATTTTCAAAGTTAAATACGTGGACAGATCTATTTAAATTTGATATTAATAGATTGTGATTCAATACCAAAATTTTAAAAAGTCATCAAATAACAACGCAATGTTAGCCTTAATTACGTCGCTTGATCACGGACAGGTTCTTCAGTTAAATATAGAAACTGTATCTAGGCATGTATTTAGCATAGCTTTGTCCGAAACAGAATACCTTGACATAGTTTTGTATTTTACTGAATAACTATCTGAAATCGAAATTGGGGATGAATAGTAGGGAGTGATGTAAGGCGTATGAGTTACTTATGTGACAGAACTGTCTAAACATTGACAGTGACGTTTCATTGTGAAACGTGTTTCAAACTTATCAATTCATCAGCGCACCCAGTTTACGTTTAAAGGGGCCCTGATAAGATACGTTCGACGCACGCAGAGATTGTTTAAAATTATGAGATTGTAAAAATGATTCATGAGTATATATTGAGCGATAGCAAACAAGGACAGTGCTCAACACAAAATTGCAGTATGAACGCAGTATGAATGCAGTGTAAGATCAAACCATTTCTCTCTCTCTCTCTCTCTCTCACACACACACACTCCCTCTCTCCCTCTCTCTCTCTCTCTCTTTCCAGAAACAAATTTCCAATGAAAAAGGAAAGTGCCCATTAACCTCAAAACATTTTCACCTGTACAGTGTGATATATTTATTCCCTTTTGACTGTTTCAAGAATATTACAGAACGATTCTTGTTATCTACATAAAGAAAGTTCATATCTGATGCAGATATTATATTTTATGTCATAATCATTTGTGGTCAAATAGGAAAATACATTTGCAGTGATTTCAGAAAAAATATTTATACCTAAAGTTCCACTGACTGTTTTTCAGTTTATTTCGCTTTCCCTGGGGTGCCCTTATAGACCCTTTTCATGACAAGCGGTGCGCTTAACTGATGTAAAATAATGATGGGAAATTATAACGATGTAACTTTATTTTTCAGCAACAGTGGATATGTTATGTTCATGGGCCTTAAAATTGTAACTAGGAAACAATGCAATTGTCTTAGAATTTTTGACAATTTCCTCGCTCCGAAAGAAAGTTTTCCACTTCCTCAGCTATATCCCGTCTAAGGATCTCATTGAGAGCATCGATCAGCTCGTCAACGCGCAGGCGCAGCCCACGACTCTGTCGCCATCTGACGAGAGATATATAACACTGTTCCGAGAGATCCCTCTCGTTAGCGTAAACGATTTCTTCGATTTTCGACTCAACAATCATCGACTGGTGGAATCTGGACATAAGTGATCGGAACAAATCCTTCCAGTCACAATTGATCTTTTTCGACACAAGAAGAAAAAGTTTTGTCTCAAATGTGTCTAATGGTTTTTCGTTGAAGACTTGGAGAATCTTGGAGGAGCTCCTTATGTCTGAGACTGCCTCTTTAATTTCCTTCATCTCGTCGGTGATGTTTTCTAGTAGGTCTCTGGTGTGGGACCTCAGACGAAGGCTGGGTCTGTCTGTGCCTGAACCATGATTCTGCTCGTCAGTAAGGTTTTCCTGACGCGGAGATACTACACTTGATTCCCTGCTAGATCCCGGGCTGCTGTCACAAGGACCAGTAGCTATGAGGGATTCTCCGTCGGAATCCTTGACGGGGGATGCTTGCCTGTCTAACAAGGACATTGCTTCTCCAGTTTGAAGCAAACCTTGCAACTCAGATGTTCTCGCGAGATCACCTGCCGTCTTTTCCCAACGGTCCTTTTGCATCGCGTTTGCACCCATTTTGAGAAGCAGCGAACAGGATTCTAAATCACCACTCTTAGCGGCGTAGTGCAACGGAGAATATCCACACTGAGCCAAGGCGTTGACGTCTGCGCCATATTCAAGGAGAGCCGTGGCGCTTCCACTCTCCCCGTACAGGCACGCCACGTGCAAGGGCGTGCGTTCAAGGGCGTCCTGCTGATCTACGTTCACGCGGAACACGCCGACAAAGAGATGGATCAACTCTGGTAGCCCTATCTGAGCTGCCCAGTGCAGCGGTGCCATGCCCTTGGCGTCTTGAAGTTGGAGGTTTGCTTCACACGCACAGAGATAGGTTGCAACCCTCGTCGCGCTGTATTTAATGGCCCAGAGAAGGGGCGACAACCCGTCGTGATCCTGAAGATCAATGTCGGCGCCAGCGGAGAGAAGACGTTTCACTGTCTCAATCTCCACGTGCATGGCTGCATAATGGAGCGGGGTTCTCCCATCGTCATCCATGGAGTTCACGCATGCGCGGTTCTCCAACAGGACGTCTGCCACACAAGCAGACTCCTTGCTCATGTATGTCAGATGAAGTGGGGTTCTGCCGTTCTTGTCCTGTGTATCCACTTTCGCCCCAAACTTGAGGAGTATTCGCGCCGTCTCATGCTGGCCGACGGAGACCGCCAGGTGAAGCGGCGTGGATTTGGCGATCCAGAACTTTGGGTTTGGAGACGTGATTTGGAACACCTCAAGTGTTGTTACGTTTGGGTCGGCACCTGCCTCCAGCAGTAATTCAACGACGAGTGCGTTCCCCTGAAGGGCGGCGACGTGAAGAACAGTCGCAGACCCAATGGCGTGTGGCTTGTAATTGCTAATCAAAGCCGACCACAACCGCTTTGGCCCTTTTCTCAAGATTTGCTCGACCTTTCTGACCCGATTGGCTTCAATAGCCGAGATGAGGTTGATGGCTATATCTCTCTCAGTCATTGACATGGTGGTGGACCGAGATGGAATGTCTGTTGGTCGAGGATTTTTTGTTTCTTCTCTCTTGCACGGCACCTGTGACATGAAAATTCATACATGGAGACCCAATTTTCTACCTATATTAAAAGACATATACTACGGACTATATTTGTCTGCTCTCTCTCTCTCTCTCTCTCTCTCTCTCACTCACACACACACACACACACACACACACACACACACACACCACGTACCTAATGTTGAAATGAACAGGAAGACATGGCGCTTTAAGTATCTAACCAATTATTTAAACTAAATTACCTAATTAGAAATGGCGTGAAACAACAAATCAAAGTGCAAGGAAGAGTTGGTTAGAAAATGTTGAATAAAATACCTTTAACAGTTGAGACGTTACTGCTGTGAATTACGCATCTGATCATCTGATACAGAGTTCCGCAAATTTGAACGAAAATTACGCATGCGCAACCTCTGTATTGGCGTACTAAAAAGTAAACTTTGAACCCGTCGCGTTTGATGGTTCAAAATGAACTTTGATCCAAGGACAAAACTTTCAACAAATTGCTGTTGCACAGAAAAGTTTCATTTCAAAAACGTTTCATCCGTAATTGTTCTACAAGTACCTTGTACTATTAAGTGCTTAAAAGGCGCCATATTCGGGTTTGGTAGATACACTGTCCAGTAACATGTTCTCAGGCGATTAAATGCCTCCCTGTCTGACATATATATATCAAAAAGCCATACTTACTCTGTATTAAACCCATCAATGGTTCATGTTTGCTGGAGTCAGCTTTTTGGCTTTGGAACGCTAAGTAAATTTCTCAATAAATAAGTCACGGCTTATATTTAGGTGCACTGAGTCGTGTAATTTTCCCAAAGTGATATTCGTGGAACCCAGTATTGCTTGGCTTTGTCCCAAATAGATTGATAACTTATTGTTACACATCACCGATATTTGTATGTACATAGTTAAATATTAACAAAGATTGGTTTTGACAGGTCAGACAGCCGATAACAAAAAGAACAGACAGACCCATGTGAGAAATCGTGATTATCACGTTGTCTACACTTATGTAACTGCCCCCCCACCCACCCACCCACCCACCCGCCTTTTAAACAGTGGTATGAGGGGGATAGCCGTGTCTCGGTCCTGTTTCCCAGCAGAAGGTTATAAGTAAGTACGAGGGGGATACAACAGTGGGGTTCGGTGAAATCACACATTTGGACATCTCAGTTCCCACAAGGTGTCGGTTCATTAACTTTGTAAGAGACACCGATGCGACCCCTGTGGTCAGAGAGTAAAAGACAGTACTTAATACTATTGCTACTAGAGATATATTACAACCCTTAAATAACATTCACAAAATTTGTCAACCAAGATTGCAGCATAGCCTTTCTCCGTGTTGCACGGACAAATTGTGGTAGTTGAGAAAAGTTGTACAATTCGAAGTGTGACTATTACTGGCACTAGTGAACTTGTACTAAAAGATGCTAGTATATTGCAGTTGGACCATGCAAAAAAAAAAAAAAAAAAAAAGGAAGGAGGAGAATGTATTTTCTGTAAGTTACGGAGTTACGCCCCCAGCTCCATCTGTTTATATCTGCACGATACTTGCATGGTAACAACAATGGGTTATCGAATTAATATTGATATTATACGAAAATGCAGTAGTATCGAAGTAGCAAAAAAGCATTAACGCAATAGTGGTGTGGAGCATATTTGCAGTAGAAATGCAGCATAGCCTACTGCAATTCTACTCCAAAAAGTACATAGGTTTGTACAGAGAGGAGCATTAATGCAGTAGATTAGCAGCATAATAGTAGCATGTTTCAAATATGCTAATTAGCTTCCAAATCGAAGCAGATTTGAAGCATGTTTGCAGTATGATTGCAGTTGTCTACTGCGGTTTGCAGTATGATTGCAGTAGTCTACTGCGCTGGAGTATCTACTGCGTTTTCTTGCGTATCACCTTTGAAAGTCTTTCAAAACATTCCTATGTATTGGGTTACAGTGGGGGTGATATTATGTAAAAGGGGGTGGAATTGTCTTATGATAACAAACAATTTTGTGTTACTAAACATTGCTGTTTATGTTAACTTTTTAATTTTTAGCCAAACATGACACTTGAACAGCGTTTAAATCTGGGACACAGACATGCCAGTCTGTGTTGCAGCTGTACATCATGGAAAAGAAAGCTCTCAGAAAAGTATTGTCATGTTTATTTTTTTTATTTTTATCATTACTTTTTATTTTATTATTATTTTATTATTTTTATTTTTATATCGGGGATCATTTACGGCACACACACTAGAGAAAAACAGGAATTGCTCTTCGTCGCAAATTTTGATGGGTGAAAATAACACGTTGTTGTGCGTTACTGTCGTGTCAGTTCTCAACTTCAGTACAAAGTATGAACTATGCAAATCGTTCAATTTCGGGATTTAAATATCTGCAATACAGTCTGCTTTTTATAAAATAAAAAAGTATTTAAAAAAAATCCTGTTATCTCAACGCGTAATCACAGATGCTATGACCCAATCCTGTTTCGTTTCCTCCAGCCTCGCACGACAACGGAACCACAGCTAGCGTGTTGTTTCGTTTCTCCATTCAGATTCGGCCCAGAGACTTAGCGTAAAGAGTGGAGATTTCCACTGATGACGTCATGACCTGGTCACTTGAATATTAAATGAGACTAATTAAATTAGCTATACCCGGTCCCCACTTTTTGGCGTGTAACTCATGTCATCGCTATTTAACCGCCGATTCAGGATCGCAGCGAGCTTTCCCAACTCAGTGAAGTTAATTGTACTTTTCCCTTATAATTTTTATAAGTGTTTAATGTTACACTTTCCAAACTTGATATATATGAAGCAAAATGCGATGTACATTATAAACGGAGAGCGTGCACAGAAGAGACTATTTCATGTCGTTGCTGTTTAACAATTTGTTAGTTAGTGTGTAATTTTAATTATCTAGGTTTTGCACAGATTGTAGGAAAAAGTCTGCCCATAAATAGTTTGTTTAGTTTTTTTTAAATATCTGCATTTTCTTAAGGATAAATTACAAAGAAGTGTGAATTAATAGCAAAACTTTGTTATATTTGCAGGAACATCTGTTTAGTAATTCACACTGCAGATATTTTCAAAAAAAAAAAAAAAAAAAAAACTCAACAAAATATTAATATGCAGACTTTTTCCTAGAATCTGTACAATACCTAGATAAATAAAATAACACACTAACAAATGACAGCTCGCATTTAATTTAACATTTCTTTAGTAAATGTTACTAAATCAATCTGCACGCCTTTTCTTTAAACATTAAACATCTTTAAAAGTATCATCCTCAGATGTATATTACAAATCACAGGTAATGAAATACAACTGTGTCTCATTAGCCATACAAGTATCATAATATGTGCTTTGAATTAAGACATCCCCTTTGTAATTACACATGCCATACAAAAAAAAAAAAAAAAAAACTGGCAGCTTGTCCAATTGACTTGCCCATTATGTTGTTAACAATGCAAAGACACAATTAAGATGTGGTCTGGACCAGGCCCTAATCGGGATGTGGTGTGGGCCACATAGGAAGTGGGTAAGATTAGGATTGGGACTGTGACATATATATATTAAGCAAAATACGATGCTTATTCTATGCAGAAAGCGTGCTCAATAGATCGGCGCCATGTTGCACATTCCAATGTATCTTGGCCGTGCAGATATACTAAATTAATTTAAAAAAAGCCATGCTATGCTATGTTGGTTTTCATAAAAGGCAAAGGGGTTGGCATATGGAACATAGATAAATTATTCATAGGCGCCCGCATCTGACGACTAATAAATCCATGCCATTCTTTGGCAGTAGCGTAGAGTCATTTTCAGCAAACTCATCGAAAGGTAAGTAGTCTCTCTCTCTCTCTCTCTCTCTCATCAAAAGCTGACAGGTACCTTTTCCTTCTTCGCTTTAGAGGTATCCACTCCCCCCCCCTTTCTCTCTTAAAAAAAAAACAAAGAGAGAAAAGAGGCAACAGAAACAGTTTCTCCAATTTTGTGTTCTTTGTCGGTTGTTTTATATTTTGCCGTGGTAAAATTCTGGATGCGCTGATTTTCAGATAAAGTGGCTGTGTATTCAACCACTCGTTTTTAAAACGGACATTTGAATGATGGATGGACGTGGTTATAGAAAGAGCCTGAGACTTTATGGCATTTTTGACAGTTTGTTTCTTTTGAGTTTTCCTTACCCTCTGCTACAGAATGTGTCACAGAATGTTTTTTCATGAGATATTGACAGTTGTCTCTATGGCTTAAGCCTACATTACATTTGAAATGCGATGCCCGGACGGTGCACGTCAGGGGCGGATTTAGGCCGTCTTCTGGGTCTTCCGGAAGACGGTCAGATTTTTAAGTTTACATTGACGGGTATCTAATATTTTCTGTCGGAAGACGGTCAAAAATTGAGGACGAATTAACAGAGATTATTTGGAAGACTGTCAGAAAATATCTCTGGATCCGCCCCTGCACGTATACTGCCCGTCATACCCTTTTCGTACGGCGTCTGAGCGGAGGTAGACGGTGGCCGTGCGAAAGCGCACGGAATAGTACCGATTTAAAGCCATGTAATGTAGACATACTCGGCGTAGCCCGTAGCTCCTTAAGATTGAAAAAAATCGCACGGACAATTTCGTCGCACGGCGCCCGTGTAAATGTAATCTAGGCTTTATTCTATGCAACTTTCAGTACTGGGGGAGAATGTTTGAACATAACTGACGCCATGACCGCTGGTAGAAAGTAAATATTCCTGCATTTATAAGCTGAATTAAGCTTAAGTCAATTTTTACAAGTTTTACAAAGAGATTCTTTTTTTTATTTTGTTCCTCGTAAATTGTGATAACACATGACGGCTAAGGCAGTGTAAGAAGTGTACGTTATATTAGTAACAGTATTTAACGGCGATTTCTTGAAAAAGTTAAACGGGTGCGTAATAATCCATTTATAATTTCATCAGTTTCATAGCTTGTGCAGATGCAGGAACAAACGACAACTTAAAACCAATAAATGACAGCATACAATAGTTAATTTGGCTTTCTTGTACTTTGCAATCATAATTACCAGACCGGTGGCGGGAAAGATAATGGAAGGGGCGGATGGAAAATGATCAACTCTGAAAAATAATTTGATCTACATGTAGTTCCTATCCCCTGCAAAATTTTGTCTCATTTAACGCTCATTTACGGTTCTCAATCTGTCCTAGAACAAACTGTTTTTCTCTTTTAATGAAAAATGTTCTTAATCTGTTCTAGGACATTCTGAAGGACTCCCCAAAAAAAATTCTCGAGCTGTTACATTCATTACAGATCAACATCAGAACTGTTAAAAAACACCAAATGTTTTAGAATAGTTTGAGAACCGTAAGTGAACGTTAAATGAGACTAATTTTCGCAGGGGATGCCATCGCTGAAGCACACGTAGGTTTCGTGGTAATAAGATACATGTCCAGATAAAATGACCCACCCTTTGAAACTGTTGACCGCAAACCCTGTATCTGCACACCTAAGGGTGCATTCCCAGAGATTTAGATTTAGATCGACCTAACTCCCTGGGGGTTCACGCTAAATTGCAGTCAGCCGAGCGCGCACCATAGTTAATTACCCCCTTACAGCTTTTAGTAGGCGGGACAGACGCTTAAGCCAGCCAAGCTGACAGTAATCTAGTGAGACTCCCCACATCCCCACAGGGATAGATCGATGTAAAATCTATGGGAATGGGGTCTAAGAATGTCAGATCCAGTATATAGAGTAGCATGGTTGAGTAAAATGTGTTCACTTCAAGGCTGAAAATAACGTGAACGGTCCAGGTTAAGACTTGAAGGGAATAAAGTGAATTTTTTTGTCCATAGTGATAATGACGATGTGCTACCAGTGTTATTTAAACTATTCCATTTTTTACTATGAATTGTAAATATTATGAAAAAACGCCTAAATGTGTACACGATTTAAATCTAAACCCCGTTTTTAAGGATGAAGGAGAATGACAGCTGTGGTGTGCTTCCTCTTTCTTTTGCCTTATCGTCGTATTCAGTAGAGAAGGAAGCTAGTATGCTATGTAAAATGATAACCATACTAATAATATTAAGAATACTTTCGTAACAGTCTGTCAAAATGCCCAGTGCTAGCACAAATTTCCACCTTTTAGTTTCTTGTTTTCGGTAAACCCATATCAGTGAAATGTTACGATTTCAGTATTTCTCGGCTGATAAAAATTCCAAGGGCAAAGATGACATCGTGGTAGATGCAAGTGCTGCATAATTGATACACATCTGGATTCATATCGAAGTATTTTCCATTCAGGCATATAAAATAAAGATAAAGACCAACTCCGATTAACGTTTGGCCAATATTTCTTGGGAGCGAGTGAATTGTGTCTAACCTAATTATGACTTCTCCCCTGGGTCGGGATGGCTATTGGTCTCTTCGAGAATATACTGATCCCCTTAAACATAAAAAATTGCTATGAACTTTTCATAAACTATTCTACTTTTCTATCTTGTTCTCAATTTCCATCTGAAATTTCCCTTTTATAAATATATTAACCCTTGACAGTTTGTTGTCCACTTAGCCGCGGTGTCTTAAGCACGTGCTTTGGCTGCTAGTAGATGAATTTGGACTTGTCTCTCCCCACTAGCATAAAAAGACCAATCACCATATCTAACCACCTTGGAAAAATGACACAAAAATTAAGGCGAAAAAAGACAAAATTACAAAAATTTTAGAAAAAAAGAACATGGACTAACTTTCAATGTTGAAATGGATTCATTAAACATTGGTAAGTATGAGAAAATCGTCGTTTACTCCAGGAAAATTAATTTCTTTGGCCAAAATGAACAGTTGTTGTCCTTTTAAGCACGTCTACTGTGTCCACCGATGAAGTTTATCCAATTTCAGATTTCAAACTCAAACAGTTGAAAAATAAAACGGCAATGAGAAAATTTGCACTCGTAAAAAATCCTGGTGCTTTTTGGGATTCTACACACACGTTGTAGAAAACATATATGAGTTAACGATGAGCAAAAATGGCTTCATTGTCTAATTGGCTCTAGTTAGTATTGAGCATGCGATGAAACTGCGAAAGAATGATACGGGTGGTTGCATGTCTTCATCTTTTTTGCAAGACACTATCACTACTTTCAAAATTGTATATACAGGTGCAGATCATAGACGTCAATATATTCCACCAGCTTGAAGCTTTTGAGTATATATCTGAATATGTAACAGAGACCATGCCTTTACACTAGGTTATAATTTATTCATTACTGAATATGTTCCATGCCGTCAGCATCTTAGATATATGGGTTGTCAGTATTTCTTTTCCTGCAGAGTTGACTTTCAATATTGATTTTCTTTTACTTGTTTGACCTCAGTGCCTTTGATCAGTATTTATCTAAGTAAAACTATTGAAGGTTCTTGGTTTTCTTTATTCATTTTCTGAGATTTCTGTGAATCAGAACGCTTCTGTACATGTGCCTGTGAGTGACAGGGCTTCCTTTCACTTTATTTTTGACCTTCATCAAGGAAACCAGNTCACATTTTTTGAGAAACTTATTTGATTGCAGTGGCGAAATCACGCGAGGGGGGGTGGGTGGAGGCTCCATGTGTCATATAATAAGTTCATAAGATCCAAATCGTACAGACGAAAGTTCTTTATTCCAACAATTTTGCAACCATTTAAGTATCTACAACTTTGTCAGCCCGGGTGTCATCAGTTTTGCAATTGCGAAATCATTTTAGGTGTCTACAACTTTGTCAACCCTGGTGTCATCAGTCACTCAGAAATCCTGGCGCTGTACAAAAGCCTCATTGACCCTAACCATACCTACCAGCTCGTCAATAAGGAAGTCCTCAAGACCCTGATAAAGGCCGGTCGGTCAGACAACTGCCTTGATACAACCAAACTGGAGTCGGCCCTGCCCGAGTGCCAAATCCCGCACATTAGCGTTTCCATCCAAGACGTCTTCACCAGAATGAAGAAGAACGTCCGGAAAAACATACTGCTGACAGGCGGCGCTGGCTTCATTGGGTCGCACGTGGCTAACTTCCTTGTGGAGCGGTACAGCTTTTACCACGTGGTTGTTGTGGATAAGATCACGTATTGCTCCAATGAGAAGAACCTTGATCCCTCTGCGAACAAACCCAATTTTGTTTTCATCAAAGGTATGGAATTTTATCTCATTTGATATCATTTTTATGTATATATTTGTGTTAAATAAGATGGCAAAATAAAAGATGACATGCGTTTAAAAAACAACAAATAAATATTGACGTTTCTTTAAGAAGTGTTTGACGTAAGTAGCTATTTAGAGATTTTTTAAGTGAGGATCATTATGAAAGTCGCTGCTTATGACGTCATCTTCAATCCATCTACACACGCATCCATAAATGTATTTTTTTTTCAGCCGATATCTCCGATGCCGAGAAGATGAAAGAGATTTTCGAGACCTACCAGATCGACACAGTGATGCATTTTGCAGCGGAGACCCTGGTTGACAACTCGTTCAATAATTCCAACGCCTTTACCAATTCTAACGTCATTGGAACTCACACGTTGCTCCACTGCGCCAGACATTTTGGCGTGGAGCTCTTCCTTCACGTCAGCACGGATGAGGTATGTGACGTCAGGTTTAATAAGGTTTTGAATCTTAACAGACATGCTGTTATAATGAAATGGTATTTTGAACTAATCAATTTAAGGCAATGCCCCAAAGTCACGAGGCCCTATAATTTATGCAAAAAATGTTATTGAGCGAAACTTCCGAACAGGAAACCCTAAATTTGTCTTTTAATTTTTACTCTTTTAATCGTCCAGTATATTAAAAAAACTTTTATGATTTAAATCCAAGTTGGTAAAAAATTGCATTTGGTTAAACATTTGGTCCAGATGTAAAAGACTCAAATTTAAAATGGCCCCTTTTTTTATTATGCAAAAATCGATCAGCTAAAGAGAGCTTTAATCTGCCCCTTTCTTCAAATATTTGGTCGTTAGTCAGCACAGAAAGCAAGTAGAAAAATCCGTTCAAATATCATTTTCGGGTAATATGAAACGATGGCCTTTGGCATTTCTCTCCGTTGTTTTATTTGGAACTATATCTCAATCTAAAAAGGTTGCTTAAACGTCTTAGTTAAAGTTTTGGTCAAGATGTTGACAAGTCAAAATTTGACATGTAATGCAGTTTTAACGTTGAACATACGTAGTCAGAGAACATTGAATTTTTGTCACATCATCGGTGTCATACATAATAAAATGACCTCTCACAGGTGTATGGCGAAGTGAAAGACGGAATTCCACGCAAGGAGACCGCCACCCTTACCCCGACCAACCCGTACTCGGCGTCCAAGGCGGCGGCTGAGATGTTGGTCCAGTCTTACCATCACTCCTTCCACGTCCCCGTCATCATCACGCGCAGCAACAACGTGTACGGGCCGGCGCAGTACCCAGAAAAGGTAACTTGTAATGGTTCTGCATATTTTTTATCAGGTGTTCAGGAAGAGAAGTGAGGTCTAATCGTTCAGAAAATAATAAATTACGGGGATGCTGGCCGTTTGTTACACTCTGATACACAGGGACCTCTAGCACACTTTACAAAATAGAAGAAGAGCCAATAATTTTCAACAATTTAAACAAACTACTAGGGGGCTTTGTGGTCAGAAAGTAGCCTGGTAGTTTGTGGGGTGGAGAGAGACTTAGATCCCCACTTAACGGCGTGCAACTGGCGTGACTGACCAAAGGGTGAGGGCTATGCCTCGCTGGCCCTTACGAGTACGTTTTATTTAAGTTGACGTGAGGCCGTTTTACTAGAGACCCTCTTAGAGTACACCACGAATGGTAAAGTTTGGCAGATCGGTGGCATTCTTCTAGCCCACCGCCATCAGGTTCGATTAGTCTTGTTATTGAGCCACGGATTCTTTAAGGTTTCACAATTGTGATCTATAACAACTGGCTCCAAAATTCCGACATAAAAAAGAAATGTCAAATGAAAAAATTAATCTTATTTTTCTCTGCTGTCTTTATTCGTTTTAAGATGTAGCCCTGTCCTCTTTTGTAATGTGCACAGAACTTGACATGTGTGTGAAAATTTATATTTGCAGGTCATTCCATCGTTTCTTGGAAACATCAGAGCAGGCAAAACGTGTCCAATCTACGGCCACGGCCAACATTTGCGCAACTTCCTCTACGTGGGAGACGCCGTTGAAGCGTTTGACCTCCTTCTCCATAAGGGTATCATTGGACAAACGTACAACATCGGCGTTAACAACGAGCATACTGTGATGTCCATCGCCAAGCAACTGCACGAGATCTTGGGAAAGCCAATGAATATCGAACACGTCAAGGATCGTCCCTATAACGACACACGCTACGTCATTGATTCCACAAAGCTCCATTTACTGGGTTGGAAACCCAAGACAAGCTGGAAAGAAGGTCTGAAGAAAACTATAGAATGGTACCTAAAACACGGTGAATATTATTGGGGATAACTGTCCTAGGTTATCTTGTGGTAGTGGGTTATTATCAAAGACCCAACTACCATGACTATGGATAAATTTGAAGAAGACCACGCATATCAATTAGCGACTTTTGATTTAACTTTATGTTACTTTTTTGGAACTGAATATAACCGAATGGTCCAACGGCTGATATGAGGCAACCGTAAGAAATGAGAATCGATGCAGCCTCCGAGGGTTTTAATTAATTTTTTCTTATAATATCAATATATAATAGTCATTCTTCAAACGAAATGGGATTAACGGATGAGTGTCAATGTTCTACTTATTTGAATGATAATAGACGTTAGTTTATATTTCTGGGTGTAACGATCAAACTCTTATACGTGAAGTTAAATTGCCCCCGATTTGCGCCTAAGGTATATTATAAAGGATTTGCGCGTCGAACCTTATGTTCGTTATAACAAATTATTGCTCAATCCGTCTCAACAGTCTGATTGCATGTTTTGAAACATTGTCAAAATTCCATTGGATGCCAGTTTTGCTAGTAGAAAAGTTTTCATCTATGATAGATACACATATTTGATTTACCCGTTGATTGTTTCGTCGAGGAAGGAAAACATCGGAACGTCATTTAAACCACATGCAGAACTGAGAAACTTTCTAGTACACCCCAAAAAAACAATTGATAGGGGACACCAAGAAGGATCGGCTGTGGGAGCTGTGACAGAGTATATGTTGGAGAAACGGGAAGAAAACTAGGACCAAGACTACAGGAGCACCAGAAAGATGTAAAGGAAAATGCAAGTGAGGGAGTCAACACAAACGCTCTATGTAAACAGGAGTGTTACGCAAATCAGACCTTACGGATCATATGTCAGAAAACAACCGTGTGCCAAATTGGGACAATACTATCACCCCATTTCCATAGATTAGATCGACCTACTTTAGATCGACCTAACTCCCTGGGGGTTCACGCTAAATAGCTGTTAATCGGGCGGACACGAAAGTTAATTACCCACTTACAGCTTGTAGTAGGCGGGACGGACATTTAAGTCGGATTATCTGAAAGTAATCTAGTGAGACTCCCCGCGGGGATAGATCGATCTAAAATCTATGGGAATAGATCCTATTTAGTGCTAACCAGTGAGTAATTACAACAAACGCAACGTTTTGGAATCCATCTGTATAAGAAGAAAGAAACACACCATGAACACAAATAAAGGGGCACACAAACTGCCCCATGAGTATGATGATATTCTCAAACCCACTCCGGAAAACGGGGGCGAGAGGGACTAACAAGTCATCACTAAGATTGAGGTAATTACCTGTTCACCTTCACCTGGACAGATAATTTACTTGTGATCAAGTCTGCCAGGGTGAAAAGACGAAACATTCAACAGGTAAATCAAATATGTGAATCTATCATAAATGAAAACTTTTCGACTAGTTTTGAAACATGGCTAATCACATAGTTCTAAATGAATCTTGACCCATTTAGACTGCATTCTGTTTCCCTTTACCACCCGGCACAGATTGATTTTTCACAAGATATTCACAGATACATCTTTAGATAAATAGACAGTCATTTGATTGGCTTTTTGAAATTTTGCCTATGATACCTGCCACCCTGATAGAAAGTAGCATTCTGTTTCCCTGGCAAGTTGGAAGGAAGCACCGACGCCAGGAAGGCCAACTTTTATTTGAGGGATTACATGTATAACCATGTTAAGGAATGAGCCTTGAAAGGGTACATAACAGTATATTTAAACATACAGATATAACTTGGGGATGTTTTCAGACAATTATTGAATACTTTTAAGGGCATATGCCCAGTTAGTTAAACTTAGGCTAAAAACGCCTTTATACATAATACCAGCTGTTATAATATTACCATATAAAGGTACCATATGAAGGTTCATGGTTTTTAATTGTCTTCAGATGAGGTATGGTGATTTTGCTGATGACATTATATCTGTGGTTTTAAGGTTAAAGTCTATTTTGTAGTTTCTTGATTTTTTCTGTTACTCAGTTGGGCTCGTATCAATAAAATCCCAACGGCTAAAAGTTTTTGTCCTCAAAATGTGTTATTACACATTGTATTATTGCATATAGTATAACCGCTTTGAATTGAGAAGCAAAATGGCAACACACCCTCTTATTTATGTATCGGTTTACAAGAAATGTTCACTGGTATAGCGGCCCAGAAACACACGTGTGATAACAAAATACACACGCATATACGATTGCATCATTGCTTTTAAAAACAATCATAATCAGTATTTATATACATGCATTTCTGAATGCAAACTCACATCCACCATTATTTTTATCCTAATCTGATTTATCAACTATTAAGTCCTGATTCAAAAACACAACTCAGAAAAGGCAATCCAGAAAATTATTTTTCATGCATTATTCAACTGTGCAACACGTTTGTGTTCGTGATGTCGGAAGATCGCCCCTTTTCTGTCGGGAAAAGGTACCCCTTGGGTAAAATTTTATGAAAGTATGAATGTTTCATGGTAAACGGTCCACTTTTTCAGAAAAAGAAATTGCTGGCTATGTATATCCAAAGATATTACACAAACTTTGAGCGTAACAGACGTCAGTGACGGGATTCAAATATCCACCTTATTCAGATTGTGGAATGGCCCATTAATCATATGAAACAGGACTTCCACAATTTCTAGGACTACCATTCCTGTCACCCCGACCCGATTCATATCTTCATGCTCCTCCGCTCGTTCTCGTTTGCTTTGCTTTTTGCTAATACCCCCCTTTAATTGCTTGTTTCCTGCACACCTTTCGTTCATAGAAAACATCATCCCCGTTTTAATTTAAACACCAATAGTACTTGTTTGTAATTGCTTTATCACTATATATTGATTTATTTTATTAAAACCAATTACATGAACAACATGCATTTTTACAATGTACTCGATAGCCTATGTTGTCATGACAACAATGCTTCTTGAAAGCGGTTCCAAATCTAACTATTCATGAACTAAATTCTCGGCAGCACTTTTTTTTTCTGTGCACTAGTAAATATTTGTCTTACACGTGTATGCATCCATTCATCGTGACAACAGGAATTTCAAAGTAAACCCGAAAACTTAAGCGGTTGTTTTTAAACAAATATAAATACACGATGCTTTCAAACAATACGAATGCATTTTCATAATCGGGTGTGGGCTGGAAAAAAAGTTCAGGCCGCGAATACTACACTAATATATATTTACAGTTTATAAATATGATTAAACCTCAATAATCATTATTATTAAAACAAACTAAGTGAACATTTGATACATATCACAAACAAAGCAATATACCTGAGGTCTTAAGATAACGTATCACTACCAAGTATAAATTAAATTTGGTATAATATGTAACATTATGACTTAATCTTAATTACCAGCAGCGCCAATATTCTAACCATATAGACCAGCTATACAAATATACTTTCAGTTTATATACACGCATTATGTTAAAACACCACACCCCGAATACAACCTGCTCTTCTCTTAAATCTAGGTGATATGTTTCAATTTAAGAATAATAATGTGTAAAAGGAGAAGTCTTATAATGACTGGAAACTGGGACTGGTGAAAGGAAGTGTTTTTTTTTTTCTTTTGGCTAAAATACTTAACTGGATAAAGCATTGCCTCAAAAGTATGCAATAAGGTGTTAATGAGATTGGGCAAAGGACAGCTAAAAGTATATTGTGTTTGTAATTATAATACTTCAAATGGATAGATGCAGAACACGAACAAGCAAAAATTGCATGATAAATATGTTAACTTACAGAAAAAAATGCAGGGATAGGACAGGAAGGTTAGTCCAAGACTTTAAAGGGCAACTATGAAGAAAAAATTATTAAGGGTTCTACTTAATTTTGGGTTAAGCCATATATGTAGTTTCCACAAATCAAAACAATTCTTGATCTGAATATATTTCTAGGACAAAAGAGAACAAAACACATACTGAAAATACAAATGTCATGATTTGGTTATAAGAGCTAAAATAGAGAAGGAACCCTCCTTTTTTTACTGCGAAGGTTTTAAAAGACTTCAAAAAAACTTGCAGAGAGATCCAAACTAAGTGATAAACACAGGGTATGACAGGCATGACTCTTGACCAAATCAAAAAATGGCGCCACTGAGTCATTACACATGTCACCTCCAGTTCTATATGTTTCTTTGCTTCTTTCACATCTATTTCAGTGTGTGTGTGTGTGTGTGTGTGTGTGTGTGTGTGTGTGTGTGGTTTTCACTCCCCCCCTCCAATCCCTTCAGTAAGTGCTGTTACAGTAACTCTACTAACAGCTGCCTCTCAAACAAGAGGCACTACAAGCTGCATGCACCACAAAGAGAGGATGTTCACATCATCCCTCTATCCCTCACCAATTTAGTCCACTATCAACATACATACGAGTGTCAGCACCGAAAAAGAAAAAAAAATCCTTTACAAAATACACATCACACTATGGCAAGCTATCCCCAAACTAAAATTATACAAACTGCAGAATTACTGTGACAGTCACAATTGTTATAACTATGCAAAATGCTAATTTAACAAACTTATGTACTAACTTGGTATTACACTTGTGTGGCACTTCAAATTTAATGACTTGATAGTATGGCTGTTAAAGAACAGATTTCTCAATTCATCCTACATTAATACTCATATCACCCACTTTTAAAACTTTTTTCTATCTGAAGGATACATTACATGATTTATCAGAAAACCCGCTCCTCAGAAAAGTACACCTAGGATCAAAGCATTCTACAAGTGACTTTTTCAAAAATATTCAAGTCGCCTCGTTAAAATTCATGAAGACATGCATCACGTGGACTTGGTGACTCTCTCATCGAATGAAACAAAAGTGATAGCATCTTCGTTGCTCATCTCCTCCTCGCTTTTCTCCTCCTGGGGGCTCTCGACTATATTTGACATATGACCTCTGACCCCTCCGTGACCTGGCATTGGGTCAAGGTCAAAGGTCAACCTCGTGCCCAGTTCCTGAAGCTCTACATGGGGGCGACCGTCAAAGTCCAGATACTCTAATCTGTGTTGCCCCTGTCTGCGGCGCCTGTGGAGCTCATGTATATAGAGGGCGCTGAAACTCATTTCAGCAGAGCTCAGCTCTTGAGAGACTTCACTGGACAGGAAGTGACCGGTGTCCAGACTGGTAGGACCAGAACCTAGGGAGACAAACACATACTCATTACATCCGCCAAGGAGGTTATTTTTTCACCCCTGTTTGTTTGTTTGTTTGTCTGTCTGTCTGCCTGTCTGTCTGTCATCAACATAACTCAAGTTATGGACTGATTTTGATGAAATTTTCAGGAACTGTCAGAAGTGGGCTAAGGAACAGATGACTAGTTTTTGGTGATGATTCAGATCAATAATCAATCAATAATGAATAATAATAAAAAATTGCTGCCTTGGCGGAAGTCTGCGCTCTCGGAGTGCTTTTCTAGTGTATATAAATATAAAGGTTTACATGCATACTTATTAGTTATGGTTTCTCTATTGCTCATTTAACATTTACTGATCCATCAGAAAACATTGTGGTTATGTTATTTAGGCCTCAGTGACCAGTAGAATCTTTGTGTTAAAAACATAATTTATATAGACACCTTGATACTAATACCTTGACAAGTGGCTTTGCCAGCAGATTTACACACACACACACACACACACACACACACACACACACACACACATTTATACACACATGCTTACACACACACACACACTGATACTCACCCAGCCCAGTGGCACTGCCAGACAGAGCTCCAGAGCTGTGGAGACTGGCCAGGATTCCCTTCCCACTCCCCTGTAGTGGGCCCTCAGCATGTGCCACACCAGCCCCCCTCAGGTGACTGCCACCAGGGGGACTCATAGGGCCAGGAACGGTCCCCAGGGGGCGCATGCTATGATGAGCCGATGCCATCCCGGATGGTCCTGGGACTACACTAGAGATGTTGATGCTGTTGTACTGTGGGGGGAGGAAAGGAAAAATATCTACATTTAAAACATTCTCGAATAATGTTAGTCTTAAGAGTATTCTCCAAGTAATTTCAGCATATATTTGGATAATTGCTTAGTTCAAGAAAGAAACAGCTTTAGCATACTGCTACTGATTGATTAAACATAAAACTTCAAATCATATAAATGTAAAGAAAAAATGTCAAATTTGAGATACATTTCAAAAATTTTTATTAGACCTTTAACTATAACGGGTCTAATTACAATAATACTAACCACGCCTGGACTCAGGGCAGAGAAGGTGTGTAGAGAAGTAAACAGGGCGTTATCCCCAGGGGCCACTACTGCTGCGTTGGCATCATTGACGGCCTGATCCTTGATGTCGTTCAGAAATACGCTGCAGTTCTCTGGGGGTTTCCATTCTGGATTAGTGAGCTGAAAACAGAGCATGAAAAATTTCAAATTATTTCAAATATCAAAAGAGCAAACTGTAAGGTTCTCTGATGGTTTTGATGTATATTCTGGGAATGTTATGCATCTGTATCAATGTCTTTTGTCCATAATTAATTGAATCTTTGAAGATGTAGTTAATTTACTGCAAATGCAAGAGTTTTGCACTCTCTACCAACTTAATTTTTTCTTATCATTTTTTTTTTTAATTGTCCAGATCAAAATTAATGTATTTTGACACTAAGGGCACATTCAGATTCACACATCCTACTAGCTGGGCTGGCCCAACTCTGCAGGGGATTCTTGTTGAAGTAGAATCAGCTTAATCAGCACACAAAAGCTAATTACTTCCTAGCTGCTTGAGAAGGGGGGTCAGACAATCAATCTGATTCCCCTGATTGCACTTTAGCAAGAATCCCCTTCAGAATCCGACTGACTCAGCTTGTATAATGTGTGAATATGAATGCAGTCAAGGCTTTTCCCAGAATTTGTGATACTGGCTGTCTAAAATTATCTCCTGTCTTTACCTACAAAATTTCAGGGAGTCCAAGCCATCAATTTTCAAAAAAAATTCACAATCCATCCAGCTGTCTGTGAAAATATTGACCTTCTGGTGATGCAGGTGGCCATCCAAATGATGGTTGGACAGTTTGCTGGGAAAATACCTTGAATGCAGTCTAAGTGACAGTGTAATGATATTATATGATATTATATTACATATCATATCATATCACATGACATCACATCACATCACATCACATTACATTATATTATATTATCATTTAACTTACAGCAAAATGCATGAGTGACAGCTCCGCCTTCCCATCCTCAGCCTGGTGGTACAGGTCTGCCTGGGTCTGTTCTTCTTTTACCCACTGGAATTAGGAATACGGTAATTAATCAACATTTTCAAATGTAAACTTTTTTCTAACATTTTTACTTTACTAACGTTTATCATTTTCACAGACTCACAATTACTTAGTACATTCTGACACCAATCCAAATAACATTACAAAGCTTCTAACCAACATTTTTTAATATTGCACTTATCATTAGTATTAGTTGTGGAGCAAAAAAAGAGGTTATCTAATTATGTTATTTGAATTTCATGAACAAAACTGTAGAAAACTCATGATCATATCTAAACACTCCAAATATTGAACTTGGATTCATCTACATCATGCAACGACTGGACCTTTTGCCCAAGGGTGCAAAAGTTATGTGATTTTTTTAAGCAGCACAGCACAGCACAAAAAGCATGACATGGAGTATGCAGTTGTAAGATACATAAATCCAATGTTTCTTTTTAACATTTTCATTTTCAGTTAATGAATATTACTGCATGCAAACCCCTGGTCATCAAACACTTCAAATAAATTTGAATAATTAAACATTCCTATAAAGTTGTAAAAAAAGCCTGATAGTATCCTTCCATACCTGGGGATTGCCATGTTTTCTTATGTCCATCTGAGCAAATGAGCAGACGTCACCAACACCAGTGACCTCTACAGTGAAGTTCCTGTAGAAGTCGACAATATCGTAAGCCTTGTGGCGTATGGAGAAGCAGAGGATCAGGGGGGTCACCAGTGGGCTGATCAACTCCTCCAGGAGATAAAGCTGAAGAATAAAATAAATAAATAAATAAATAAATAAATAAATAAATAAATAAACTGTTATTAGTCCTGTACTAGAAAGCCTTTCTGTGAGATAGAGGTATAGCATAAATAAATAAATAAATAAATAAATAAATAAATAAATAAATAAATAAACTGTTATTTGTCTTATACTGGAATTGCTGTGCAAACTCCTTCCTGACTCTGTATGTGATAAAAAAAACTTAACAAGTATAAAATAAATAATTAAATAAATAAATAAATAAACTGTGTCTAGTCCTGTACTGGAAAGCCTGTGCAAACCCCTCCCCTGGCTCTGTGTGTGATAAAAAAAAACTTAACAAAAAGAATAAATAAATACAAAATAATATTTTGACAGTTCACTTACTCCTTCCTGGCTATGTGCATGATAATAACTTTTTGGAAAATTCATAAATAAATAAATTTTATATAATAACTGTTAACTCACAGCCTTGTACTGGAACAGCTGTGCAAACTCCTGTCTGACTTTGTGAGTGTGAGCATTGCCTTTCCAGGAGTCAGGGATATAATGGACCTCCTTCAAGATGTGGGTCATCAGAAACTCTGGACAGAACACCATATGCTAAAATCACGGAAAGAAATAGTATTTTAAATACATTTTTATCATAATACACATGGTCGTCTTAACCTTGCCGAAATGGCTATTTTGAACACGTTATTATTCTTAACACTTCTTACTTTCTATTTACTAAATGCCCTTACCACCTGCTGCTACCTCCCTTCCTTAATTTTTGAATGAACCACCCAGAACTACATTCCTTCTGTTAATATGGCAGTCTGAAAATATCTCCTACCATTCTTCCCCTCTGCTTTTTATCCCTTCCTACAGGGTGTCCCCCCCTCACCCCTTCCCCACCCCTCTGTCTGTCTCACACACACAGAAAGAGAGAGAGAGAGAGAGAGAGAGAGAGAGAGAGAGAGAGAGTGAGCCCAAATAAGCCACTGTATTACCTCAGCTCCCAGTATAGTCATCATCCTTAGTATATTCTCCACTTGGAGCTCCCCCCCCCCCACACACACACACACACTCACACACACACACAATAAGCTACTGCAGTACCTCAGCAGGTATAACAGCCCTACACACAGCCACCACAGCTCCCAGTATAGTCATCATCCTCAGAATATTCTCTACTTGTAGTGTGTCCTCATCTATCAGGGTCAGGATGATCAGCACGGCCAGCACAGCACCAGCAAAGAACACCACATTCCTGAAAATATGCAAAGGCTCCGCTTAAAATATCCTTAATTACATATAGTCTCACATTTCACACAATAAATAAATAAATAAATAAATAAATAAATAAATAAATAAAATTTAAATAATATAAAATATTTTAAATTTTGTGTTGAAAATGACAATAATATCCATCTATCATTCATACAAAACACATCTTTTCATTCAAAGTGCATTAAATCAACATAATTACATTAATTTTTTCCAAATTTATCATCTGAATGATTCACCATCAGTAAATTATATCATATTTGCTATGATCTTGACTGTACTTACTTGGCAAGAATAACTAATACAGGGGAAGTAAAGATATTCATGTATTCCTCGGCTGGTTTGTAGCCTCGATTCAAACGGGCCTCAAACTCATGATCTAGCTCATTGAAATGCCTCAGGTACAGACGCCCATACAGGGACCATCTCCTTGCTCCGAGACTGCCAGGCTGTCTCTTAATGATCTGAAGACATAAAAGATATAAAATAATTAAATATTTAAGTAGTGGCATGAACTAATGTATATAATATAATATCGCAAAAAACATATTTACAAACTGTTCTTATATGAACTCAAATGTCAAGACATTTATATTGTAATAAATTAAATGCAATAACATTCAAAGACAGTTTCATGTGTTTGACTTCTTATCATATTTATTAAGAAACAAAGAGATACTATGTAACGGCAAGTCAATCATCATGCCTATGAAATTACATCCAATGACTATTTGGCAGATTCAAGCGATATTATATGCAATCTAACCATTTTAGATGAGGGTATACATCTTTGTAATTTCAATTAAGTTAAATTGAGGGGTGGTTGTAACAAGGCTTTGTTTCCAGTACCATGAGAGAGATGGCTCAATTTTAGGCCAAAACAAACTTGAAGGCAATTTCAGTGCACACATACAAGGCCAAAACTAAGGTATCTCAAGCCTCCCTAATAGCGTTACAAGGATAAAACCAAGGTACCTTCAGTCTACCCACTGGTGGTACAAGGCCAAAATCAAGGTACCCCTGGCCTTCACACTGGTGGTACAAGGCCAAAATCAAAGTACCCCTGGCCATCACACTGCTGGTACAAGGCCAAAACCAAGGTACCCCTGGCCTTCACACTGGTGGTACAAGGCCAAAACCAAGGTACCCCTGGCCCTCACACTGGTGGTACAAGGCCAAAACCAAGGTACCACTGGCCCTCACACTGGTGGTATAAGGCCAAAACCAATGTACCACTGGCCCTCACACTGGTGGTACAAGGCCAAAATCAAGTTACCTCTGCCCCTACTAATGGATGTACAATAAATATAACAAGTCAATCCCTACTTACCTCTGCATATCTGAAGAAGGAATAAAGAATCTGCCACAGGAAGATCAATGGGGAGAGAATCAGGTTGGCAAGGCCTAGCCAGAGGATTCTTTGGGAAACACTACAGGAAAGAATTATCACAATTTATCCATTTTGGTAATCAACTGTGCTGTTATAATTTCAGTATTTTACTCATTTTTTTATTTTTTTCATGTTATACTCTTAGAAGCAGGGGGTGTGCGTGCTCAGGATAATTGCTGATTTTTTTGGATATGAGATTAGGTGTTTTAATGAGCAAAAGCAAAGCCTCAACTTCTGTGACTTAATTAATGGCCCACACAAATTCCCAGTTTATTAAATGAATCTTGGTCAGTGAAACTCTGTAAATTTGTGTCTGCTTCGGGTCACTTTGTTAGGTCTAGTATGTGCTTTAATTTAGGTCTAGTGAACCCAAAGGATTAGAGGACAAAAAGTTTTTTGGCACAAACTGGGATGGTCCCACTTCAGACTGTCTGAGACATAAAGAAAAGTTGATTATCCACACGTAAAAATAAAAAAAAATAAACAATTAAGATACATTAATAAAATTGAGACTTTGCTTTGCAAAACATTTGATTTTTGGAACATAAAACCCAGATCAGCACAATGTTTTAAACATTTCTGTCTTCTCCATTTACAATCATTTTTTCAAGATTTTACCTTGAAGAATGACTATAATTTTTGAAGGGGATAATAATCTCTTGAAGATTGTTTTTAAGAGGAAAACAATAACCTCTGCATATGTATAAAAATATGTGAGAATCTGCCATACAAAAATCAGTGGAGACAACAAAGCATTGAGTATACTGAAGATTATTAGCCTCCTTGAAAGACTGGAATAAAGAAGTCAAACTTAATATTATTGAGGGCTAAATCTTTGGATCTAGCAAAGAATTTCATCAGCTGTTTTTACACTCAAGTTTTATCAAACAGTTAAGTTCAGAGAACTACTAAATCCTAAACTTCATAGGAAATAGACAATTACTGTTAAAATTAGTATTTATAACAAAGCAAACAAGTTAACTGTTGCATTCCTTTAAAGGAATATTTAGCATTGTTGAAAATTTGTAATTATGCAAATAACAATGGATGTTGCTTAGTAACTTTTTATAGCCTTTGTGAGAGAAAAAGCTCAGTAAAAATAACACAACAAAATTACACATATCTTTTCTTTGTCTAAAACATTAATTTACATAATTTCCTCACAAGGATCAGCTAATTATTGTACAATGATGCATTTTAAATCAATAAACATAAACTGCAGTAACCCAATAAATCAATATAACTATTTTACTTACTAGTCAGCTAGTTCTTTCCTTTTATGGTAATTTTTGAAGTCCTGTTTTAAATGCCAATAGTTCTCAAATGGAGCCCATGGGCCCCCTGAAAATAAAGTGAAATTAAAAATAAAGAATAATTCTACACTAAGTTCATAAGAATTTGATTTCTTTTTAAGACATTGACAAATAGGAAACAACTTTGATATCCCTTTTAGAACTTTTATATAACTGTACACAAACCTTTCCAACTTTTAAGATTGTTAGCATGCTTCTAAATGGGTGTGTGTAATTCCATCTCTAACTTTTGGACAACCTGTAATTTTTTTCATTTCCTGATGACTTTTTAATCTGAAGTATGGGGTGTATGCACATATTCTTTTCAGATCTACTTACAGAATAGTATCATCTCCAAATTGTACTTAAGACCAGTAGAGAGGAAAACACTGCAAGAAAAAAATTTGTATAATATATAGTCTATAATATATAGTTAAAACAAAAAGGCTCAATTTCCATGAGAATTATCTTATACTGGAAGCTGACTAATAGAATTCATTCAGTTCCTTAGCACAATGCTTAAAAGCAAATATTAAGTATAATTTTAGCTAATTATTTTCATGTCAAATACATTTTATTAAATTTTAAAACAATAAGCAATAAAAATTGCCATAAACTAAATTAAATTTAAATCATTGCAAGTATCTGCAATAATAAAGAATAATATATGACCTCTTTCAAGCAGCCAAGTACTTACTAATCTCCCACAAAAGGAATCCTATATTTCAAGGGTAAAAGAGATTTGTTCACCATTGCCACTTGGTAATTCTTGAAACGTAGGATTCTGTTATAAATATCTGAAGCAAATAACATAAGAATATGCTAAAGGACAAGATTTCTATTAAAATGTTCTATGTGTGTCTCAAATGTTATAAGAGGTCTACAAGAAATTATGAGCCTTTTTAAAATCAAGTTAATCCGCGGACTCTACAAGAAATTATGAGCTTTTTCAGAACCAAGTTGATCCGCGGACTAACTGATTTGCAGATCAAAAATGGCTGACCAACTTGAAAGCTTGCCGCTTATTCCACTTTTCTATCAATGCTTTTCTAGACAGTTTTAAAAATGTGATTACTAGAAAAAAAAAGAGAAAAGAATGATAGGAATATGCACTGAAAAAAAAAAAACAATTTTCCATGAATGACTACAATCTTTTCTGAAAATTCATTTTAATGCCAATATCCAAAGCATTTTGTTTCACGTTTTGTTACCGACCTAGTTCTGTCAGCTCCTTCTTGTGTATACACATCTGTTGTTCTTGCTGGACTTCTACCACCCTCTTCTGTACCTCGTGCCAGGTCAGATTAGGCAACTCATCCTAAAACAACAAACAATTTAATTACACAATTCATCAAACGGAAAAAAGAAATGCATTCAGGATCGATAAATTGAAATAAAGATAACTCATTTGAACATAGAAATAATAATAATAATAATAAATAATAATAATAATAATAATAATTTATATAACAGATTATTAATAATAATAAATAATAATAATAATAATTTATATAACAGATTATCTATGGCAAGGTTGCATAATACAAAACTTCCATTTTGATGGGAAAAATTGAAAAGTTTGATTTTGAAAAAAATTTGGATTATGAATAAGTGCTATGTATCTATTATCCTCAGCTACTCTTTTTGAAGTTATGTGGAATTTAATGTATTTTTTATTTGTTACATTTTCTTAATTTACACAATCTACATTATTATAAAGACTTACTGCTGAAATTTTGAGAGCAGTCAGGTAGAAGGCTCTTATCTCCCAATACTTGAGCACGTTGTAGACCACCTTGATAAGCCTCAGGACCCAAAACACTGCCGCCACCAGGAGACATATGGCTACAAATGGCCGAACACTGAAATCAAAGGATTCCATAAGGGTTATGATGCATCCCATCTACAGTGAACTGTGAACAAAAATACAGAGCTGTCAAAACATTTTCCAAGTTATGAGACTGACTTAAGTTCTCCTCTATCTTATAATTAGTGAAATGTTATGTATTTTTAATCACTGGTATAATATTTTGTAATCTCGTTCAGTAGACCTTGTACTTGTGTATATAGTGGCCTTGCTTAATCTGGGCACATAACTCTAATGAAGTAAATCTGAAGTACAGACCCCACATAAAAACAAAGAAGATAAGGGGTACGGTAGATAATTTTCAGATATCAAATTGCTAAGAATTAACCCTCATAAAGTTAAGTCCAATAAATAAATAAATAAATAAATAAATAAATAAATTACAGTCTGTGGCAAAAACAGATGGTCTCAATAATAAGTACGCAATATGTGACTTGTGTACAACTTCTTCTAAGATACCCAGTTTTGAACTAATGCCACTCACCTACTAACACACTGGTCTAATGGTATAACAGACTCTGCTATGGTGACCTTGTGGTGACCGTGTGTATTGTTACGATATATCTCATCAAACACCACGTCATACTTGACGCACTCTATCAGGTATGATGAGAAAAGTATCACGAATACAAATTGCCTAAAATAAAGAAGAAAATTTGATCATAAAAAAAATTAATTGGAAAGAAGAAAGATTTTTAAAGAAAAGGCTACAGCAAGATTTTTTTTCCAAATTACTTTTCAAAGTTTGATCTTAGAAAAAAAATTGAAAGAGGAAAGAAAGAACAAAAAGAACAAGAAATACAACTGGATTTTATAAAAATTTAATTTTACTTTTCAAAAGGTCTGCAGGGGATTCACCGGTTCTCTGAAACAGGCCACCCAAAATTAAATTAATTATGGCATGAGCTGAGACTTATAAAGACCAAGATATAGATGAATATATATACTATATATATACAGACTTGTGGTCTTTGTGTGTTCAAGCTGTCAATGACATACATTTTAGTTTTAATTAAGACCAGCTGTGAACAAGTCATAACCCACATAATGTCACTTACAACAGCTGAAGCACATCTTCAAGCACCATGCAGAAAAATCCATTCCTCTGATGATATTGATAAACCCTGGCAAAAAACTCATCCAGATTCTCGATATGATTCCAGCGTGCTAAATAAAAACAAAACAACATATCTTTTAAGGCTGTATTCACTTCCGTTTAGTTTAGAAAATTTGCCAATCCTTCAGGCAAGTTCACATTATGATTAAATTAATTATAAAAATTTCAATTCATGACAACCTATAATGTATATTTATCATCACGACACTGAAAGGAAATAACAGGTTTGAAAAATTGAAAGTTAAGACAAATAATTCAACCAAAAATGACAAGTGACTACGACCATCACCATCATCATTTTCATTATCTGGGTTTGACATTAAAGGTAGCCCATTTGCCCGGGGCCACTGAAAACCAATTTCGGGTCAGTGAATCACAGTGGCTGCTGTCCTGAAGGACAATTAAAATTTAATACGCCAAGTAACCTTTGTAATATTTACTGGACCTTACCGACTAGTGGAGAAAAAAAGTTAGTGTCAAGCTCTGATTGTCATCATCATCATCACCACTGTCATATACATATATATATATATATATATGCTAGTAATTTACTATTATTTTCTCAAAACTTACATTTGCTGCTCTCCTCTGGGACAACATGAATTAAGACATCAGTCTCCATGTGAGGGGTGTCCACTTCGTCTTCCTCATACCCAGAGGCCGGGAGAGGCTGGTAGCTGGTGGTGAACTCACTCATCTTGTACTGAACTGCTCACCCTATGACCGTACTGCAAGAAAAATGATATATATATGTTTTTCAAAACATATATATATATATATATATATATATATATATATATATATATATATATATATAAAATTAATTAAATGATTTTTTATTACAGTAATGAGGTTACCATAGTTAAAAGTGAAAAAATAGGATGAGACTGATTGTAATGTTCACCCTATGACAGTACTGTAAGAGGAAACACTTAGCTGAACGAGCAATATGAGGTCATGTTTTTTTTTCAAAACATACTAATTAATAAATAATATTAATGATTCTTTAAAAATAGCTATAATGAGGTGGGATGATATTAATCATAATGTTCACCCTATGATCGACCTGCATGAAGAAAAACTTACCTGAAAGAGCAATCTGAGGTCATGTTTTTTTTTTCAAAACATATTTATTAACAAATAATATTAATGTTTTTTTTTAATAACCTTAATGAGGTAGTTATAAAGGAGTTGATGAGATGAGATTGGTTCTAATGTTAGGTTCACTAAATATGTGACTGTGCAAATAGCCAGATCCAATTTTTTAAATCAAATTTATACCATCTAAGTCATCAGGCCTCTTATATGTGTGATTTGATCATCAAACAATTATTTTGCCTTTTCTTTTAAAAAGAATTATGAATTACTAGTAAATTTTTATTGGCAGCTCTCCGTAAAATAAACAGCTGAGACATATTTAATTTGGCAACATGCTTATTTTGGCGAAAAAACATATAGAAATTTGTTCACTATAGACACTTTCATGACCAAAGTAAATCAACTGTTTTCTTAGGTCCTAAATCTACCTGGTCATGCCAGTAAGTCATAAGACACCATATTTCAATCACTCAAACTGTCAGCATAAGGACAATTTTCAATTCCCCATAAACTTTCTTGTCTTAAATGTGATGCACTTAATTGTGTTTACGTTACCTTGCTGTGAATCAACTTAAGACACTGTCCAGTGAATTAATTATATTTAAGATTGAATCCAGTTGAAAATAAATATTCCTGGTCAGGTTGGATCGAATTGATCTTGATGCTATTTTGTACATCCTTTAAAAAGTGGAGAAGGTTTATGGGTTTAACTCGGGATGTGAAAAGAATGAAGTGAGAGTGAGACTGGATATCTGGAAATTATCCAAAATTAAGTTCGGGGAAATATATTTATCTATTTATCCGTTGGTGAGATCATTTCCGTAAAACGACTTATCAAGTACAACATGATCTGAATGATGCTTTTCGGATTTAAAGATTTTTGACAAGTACTTGTTATGTTTTATGTCATGCTGTTGATGACCTCATTATTAGGGGAAAAAACGTACTCACCCTCCCTACTTTGCTGATAAATTTTTCATCAGCTGTTTTCTTTACCTGAAATCCGCTTGCTCCTTTTATCTCATGTCAAAGTATAAATACTCCCTTGCGAAGCAAATTTTTTCGCAAAAGAGAAACACTGATCTGTTTCTTACTACGATGCCATTGTGTTGTTTCCTTTTTCCATATTTCACAGGATTTTCATCATCGTCCAAACCAAAACAAAGAAGGTCAAGGTCAAGGTTGTTTTGTCATCAGTATTCAGTGGCAACGAAAACAATTGGATAAAATTAAGTAATTTTTAAATATATCTGTTATATCCTTTTGATTGTGCATCACTCATTTTAAATTTATTTTAAGTATATTGGTTGAAAAAGTACATGATATTCATGAATATTAAATAATTAAATTTTATCCAATCACATCAAAGAAAATACCTTTGCCCCGAATAACTGGCTCTGTGTGAAAAATGAAGATCAACATGGCTGAAAGTGATTATTTTAACGTTGGGAGTATCGTGGCTTGCAATACCTGTTATGGACAGAAGATCCAAGGAGAGGTTGTCGCTTTCGATCACACAACTAAAATGCTTGTATTGAGTATCCTTATAGCACTGTATATTGAGCCGTTTTGTTTTATAGATCGGAAGCAATGAAACCCTTTGGGGAAAGTGACCGGCTTCCACTTCCAACTTTCAAGTTACAGTTCCACTGGCACTATAACCAGTGCACTGGCCAAAAGAGTGCTCTGATCGTTTCCACATCTAGCACTTGTTTTGCCGATGGTTGTATTCTCACATATTTGGACATAGCACTCATGTACTACCAATATTTTGGGGGCAATTACTAGTATCTTATTCATTGGGTTTTCCTTGGAAATTTTGAGTTAGCAAGAATGGAAATGCAGACAAATTGATAATTATAAAGGGCATAAGTATGCCCTACAAACTAATACATGTCTTTATTTAAGTTAAGATGTGCTCAAAACTCAGTTTCATGTTGATATTTAAAGGTACCCAGTGTAAAAATTTCTCTGAATTTTCCTAGGATTAACCATATTTTTCCCAGCTAATAACCAATCTTAGAACCTATTATACTGATGCTCGCTATAATTGTAACCATTTGGGGAAATTAAAATGTGTTTAAACTTAAATAATTCTGTCTTCAAGCAGCAATTCAGTTGGCTACATTTTTAGGTTTTTTAGAAAAAAAGAACTATTGCTCTAAATGCAGCTGAGTATGTGAAAAGGGTAATTGCAAGTGATATATTATGTAGTTCAATATCTGCACACTTCTGTGACAAAGTAGGGGAAGTAACAAGCTCAAGGAATTCTGCACTGCGTCTCTAGTTCATTGTACCTCTTCATTGAGTGCATCCAGTGTTGTCTCCTTAACCGTGAATTCAGAATCCCCCTCAGGGCCGGGTCGTCAAGGCCTGTACGATATGAGAATGTTGAACCTGAACATGGTCAGTGAAATTGACCTGATCAAGGAATGTTCCGATCCGCCGTCCACACTCACCAATCTGAATTTTAACAAAGTAAGTATGAGTGATATATAGGGTTTGCATACAACAGCATGTAGCAAATTAACTGTACCTTTTTGTTGTCATTTAACTTAATAAGCATTTTAACTGTTACAAAATGATGTGTGTAACTGTGCTTATTTATTTATTTATTTATTTATTTATTTATTTATTGTTTTTGCATGTATACACACACGTAGAAGTATTGGAAATGTATACATGGCATGACCTGGTTTATAGAAAGGTATTTTATTTTTTTCAAGTAAATTGCCATATGATTTAAGCTTCTAAAACTGACACAAGCACGAAGAAAAGCTCTCACACTTCTCATAAATTCCACATTAAAGGACCACTTTCTTTCTCCTCAGCTCCAGCAGAGGGTAAGAGCTACCAGTGAAGAAAAGAGGAGGAAGGTGAAGTATGTTGGTATTGGGGTGACACCAGAGGGACAAAAACTATTTAATGCAATCACAAAAACGTAAGTTTATTATAACTGTTATTATTATTATTTATTATTATGATTGTTATTATTGGACAGGTGATATTGTTATTGTTACAAATTCCATTTATTGGTAAAGAATTATTAGTACTGCAGTTTTAAATATTTTTTGGCTTATTATTGTTATTATCATCACAATTTTTAAAAGTACTAGTGAACTTAGTATTGGTGTTGTGCTCAGTTGGACTCAGTGAATTTTCCTTCAGGACAGTAGATTTTCAGACTATGGTCTCCAAAATACCCTTACTTGTATTGGTATAGCATTATTAGTACTAGTAGTTGAATATTTTCTGGTGTATGTTCAAAAGTATTTGGGACGAGTGAATTGAAGCTCAAGTCGTGTTCATCTTCAGAATTAATGATGTACACTGGGAGAACCAGAAGATCATTGTAATGGACCAAGTGGTTATTCTACCCCCGTATGGCCTAGAAAACTGTAAACCCATAAACCAAGCGCAGGAGAAAGCTGCACAACATGTCAAGAAAATAGTAAGTCCTACAGTTAAACGAGCAGTGCTCAAAGAACCGTTCATTTATGACTTCTTACCATAATTATAAGGGGATTTTGTCAGTTTATACCACTATTAAAAGAATGGCTCTAAAATTAGATAGAAACAATTACAAAAAAATGGTTAAAAAGTAAAAATAAAAGAGAATGAGAGACCCAGAAACACATTTTTTATATCATATTGGTACCAGTTTTGTTATGGGGGGAAAATGTTGGAAGTTTTCATGAAGAATGAAATTTTTTGACAAGGAACTGAAAGAAAGGTCTAACAATGTTCAGTGCTTGACTTTCATATCAACAGTTTTGGATTGAGTTAAGCTAAATCCAAATAAAGAATTTTCGAACAAGATTGAGTAGCATTTACATGACCAGGTTATGTTCCTTGCTTGAATCACATTGGCAATTTTTGATTGAATTAAAAATGAAACCAAACATACAGTAATTATTCTCTTTTCTGTGGGCAGAAATTATCAAACTTTCAGATACATAATTTTATAATCATAAAATATCTGTAAAAATAAATGTATAACATTTACTTTTACTGCATAGAATAGACCTATAGAGTAACCTGCTTTTTGATTTTGTTGCCACCACTCAATAGGAATGTTCTTATTTACAGAAATTATGCCTTAAAAATACAGTGTCTGTAAAATTCACAATTTTCCCCCAATTAATAAAGTAGAGTTATTATCGTACATTTTTTAATCTCCCAGATTGAAAAGCATATACGCGACCAAGAGTCTGCCTCCTCGTCCACAACATCTTCACAACCATCGTCGTCGTCACCGTCGCCATCACCACAGAGCAACCGATCTCCAGAGCAGTGATACAATTGGTAATTTATAGTGGTAACTATGAACTGAAAAATGACAAAAAAAGGGCGTCAGGAAAAGCTAAGAACCGCAGAGGCTGGGAAGGAAGCATGGTAGAATTGGGATCACATATTCAAGGATTTTGTGAGAAACTTGGAGCTGAATTGAACCAAAAAACGGGATGAGACATTTGACTTTTTTATTCTTTTTTTTTATTTCGCAACTTAGAGCCATGTTGAACTTTGAAAAGGGGTAACACATTCAATGTTTTTTTTTTGTTTTTGTTTTTGTTTTTTTTACATATACGCGGAGCTGAGTTGAACTGTAAAAATGGAATAACATTCAAGGTTTGCATAAAAGTGTCAGAGGGGAGTTGAACCAAACAAAAAGGGGGAATAAACATTCAGTGTAAAGAGTTTTGGTTAAGTGGAATGGGAAAATTGATTAAACAAATATTTAACTTAAACACAGGATTGCTTTTTTAATAAGGTGATGAGCATGTTTCTCACAAATTCCCTCAATCATTTCCCCTGTTGTTTAAGAGAAGCAGCTTCACTGGTATTCATATGTATCATGTATCACTCAGGGTGCATTCCCAGAGATTTAGATCGATCCAGAGATTTAGATTTAGATCGACCTAACTTCCTGGGGGCACCATAGTTAATTACCCCCTTACAGCTTTTAGTAGGCGGGACAGACGCTTAAGCCGGCTAAGCTTACAGTAATCTAGTGAGACTCCCCACAGGGATGGATCGATCTAAAATCTGTGGGAATGGGGTCTAAGTTTACAGTCAAAAACTGAATCTGTATCCAGGCACATGTTAAATATGGTTTCATTTTCTTCACCCACTATGAAAACAAAGTTGTAATATCTAGTTAAAAAAAAAAAAAAAATGCAAGATGCACATATTTCAATTCTAGAGGATATGAGCCCAATACAACATGATATGTTACAACCAAAGTTTTATTTAATACAGCTGCAGCAGTGTTTAAAATGCACACACATATAAAACCTACTGAATTCAAAATAATAGAAACTGACAAATTGTTAAAAAATTCTTTATTATTATACAAATCTTAAAAAGTTGGTCACATGGCTTTACAAACATTTTGTACTCTTCAAAATGCATCTCTAACATGAAACGTTAAAATAATTCAAATTTTTTGTCAAAATGCCTGCTTTTATCAAAACATGCTGAACTCGTTATTTGCAAGTTATTTTATAAAAACATGAACACAAAACAAAGAAATTACAAAAACATTCGATGAAAATCAAAACGGAGGGATGAGCAATCACCTGACAGCAACTGACATTTTACAATTAAAAATAATAATAAATAAAAACGGTACCGACCACTGGCATTTATATATTAATATTGCAAAATGTTTTACGTTTGTTTTTTCATGACCTTTAATAACAAAATTACTCCTGGACCATTTACATTAATTTTACAAAAAAAGGCAACTTCCTTGTACAGATAGCAATGATAAGTTGATCAAAACAAAATAATTAAAATCTAATAGTTTTGCAATGCATTTGGTCCTTAAGGAGAGCTGCAGTTTTTGTATATATTTACTGAGATGAATCCCTTTCACTTTGAAAAAAAATGGAACAGTATACCATCCCATTTGATGCGATAACTTTTGCTTACTGGAAATTAATAAATAATAAGTATGTAAATTTTCAGTTGCCCAGCATCAGAGCAGTACCCTGGATGTGAGAGGTCACTGTTAATGCACCTCTCTACTGTCAGCATGCTGTCTGTCATACAGTGGTATGTCCAGTTACTCAGGGTACAGAGCAGTGTACACGTAGGACAACAGACCGTAAATATGAAAAGTTGAAGCTTTTTTTTTAATTTGAAAATGTCCCAGAATCATATTTTCATGTCATAGTATTCAACAAAGTTTATTGTCTTTCCTGATTCAGACCTTTAAAATGATTATACCCCTTAATAAATAAAAAATGCCTGTTGGTTATTTTTCTTTTGTATAAAATGTCAGGAAGACATCTGCCATTTAGAATCAACTAATTTCATCAGAAATGGTTTAAAACATCTAATCTAGGTGCAGGACAAGTAAGGCAATAATTAGTGAGGAGTAAACATTGCTTTTTATCTCAAGAAAAAATAGATTTGAAAAAAAAGCAGCCAGTACTGAAAGCAATCACAATCAATTGCAGTTTCATTTTTGCTTAACAGTTTCTCTGACATGTGAAAAACTTATGAGATTCCCTGTCCAATGTAATCTGGGGCTCATTTCCCAAAAAAAGTTGGTTTTGAGTTTAGACTGTATAAAGTGAAATATTTGCATGTACTACCTGTAGGTATATTCCTTTGGGGTTATCACCCCTGACATAGGGTCATACAGTGAGGTCACAACCCCTGACATGGGGTCAGACAATAAGGACATGACCCCTGACCTGGGGTCATTCAGTGAGGTCACGACCCCTGACCTGGGGTCATACAGTAAGGTCATGACCGAGGGTCACAGATCCTTGACCAAGTAGGATCTGATAAATATTTCACTTTTATACTTCGTGAAAAAGTTTGCTACTGCTACTGGAACAATCAATCTATGCTTAAACTCTGTTGACAACTGTCCAATGAAATTCTTCCGCCTTTGTTACAATTTATATTTGAACTTGTCTTTCCTCTCTCTGATCTCTGCCAGTGCCTTGGCCCTGACTGCAAAGTTTTCCTCAACTGTTGGTTTTTGTTCAAAGCCCAAGATTTGCAACATTTTCTCCTCACTGGTTCTCAGGAATGGGTTCAGTTTCTTCTCTTCCCCCATGTTGGATGGAGCCTGCAGTACAAAAGGTGTGTTCATGACTGGTCCAAATTAATCCAATTACAGCAGACAAGGCCTGTTCACAACTGGTTTAACTTAAACCAATATTCAGCATGAAAGGTGCAATAATAACTGGTCTAATTTAATCCAATAATAGCACACAGGGAGAATTGACAACTGATCCAACTGTACATGCATACACACACGTGCACACGTGTGCGCACACAAGCACATACACACACATTTAATCCAGTAAACCTCTAAGGGATCAAACTGAAAAGATAACAAATTGACCTAAAATATTATAAAGCATAAATATCCATTTAAATTTAGAATTTACGTTTCAACAGAGAATGGAACCTACGGTGCAGGCCCTAGACTGCCTCAGCTGTAGAACACGTGCCAGTTTCTCCTTAATCTCCTCATTATCAGGCTCCAGGTGGGACGAGAACTCCAGGTTATCTCTGGCATACTCGTGTCCTGGAATTAAGAGATAAAAATTAAAGGTTGCAGGTTTTGTTGACTGTTATAACCTGCTATCCTCAGTAAATTAAATATGGGGGATATTTTAACGTAAATAAAAGAAAAAAGCCTGGTTCTTATACACCACATTTCACTGTCTCATAAAAGATGACATTAAGTGACAGATACAATACGAGTCACCGAGCTGTATGTGAAATATAATGAGGTTGTTGTCGAGCCGCAGGCGAAGTGCATATATATATTTTTTTTTTTTTTGATGTGCATGTTGCATGTCAAACACAGCACAGCTTAGTCTTATGTTCTACGTGCTAACCATGGTTTAAGACAAAATGTTTTAGTACTTTCCTGGGGAGGGTACAGCCCCATAAGGTGTTGAAAACTAACAACTTGTAACCTGAGAACTCACCTGGCTATACCAATAACCTGATAACTCACCTGGCCATACTAATTACAGGGGCAGATTTAGGCCGTCCTCTGGGTCTTCCGGAAGACGGTCAAATTTTTAAGTTTACATTAACAGGTATCTAATTTTGTTCTGTCGGAAGATGGTCAAAAATGGAGGAAGGATCAACAAAGATAATTTGGAAGACTGTCAGAAAATTTTTCTGGATGCGCCCCTGAATAACCTGAGAACTCACCTGGCCATACTAATGTGCAGTCTGACAACTCCAGCAGGCTATCCAGTGACCTCAGCATGGTAGTGGGAGGACCTTCAAACATTCTGCCTAAAAAAAATTCAAGAATCAAAATAGCATTGAATATGTCTCCCTGGGATGTGCACTGGATGTGTATTGCTTCTAAAATAAGCATTTTCATGGACTGACTTTGAAAGATTATGAGGGCCAGCAGGCCCATAACCAGCAATTTTAAAAGGGGGGTTCTTTTTCTGAAAAAGTGGACCTTTTCCCATAAAAACTTCATGTACCTTGATCAAAATTTACCCAGAGTGGACCTTTTCCCAGCAAAAGGGGTGGTTCTTTCGAACCCCCTGAACTCCCCCCCGGCTACAGGCCTGGCCAGCTTCACCCCTTAAAATTTCCATGTATCAGGTATGCCCATTTGTTTCTTTATATCATAAATGGTTTCTGGTACAGTACATTAAGGAAATGTATAAAATTGCCCCAGAGATTTAACCTTGAACATCTGGTGAAAAATCAGTCTGTGGTATGGTTCGATCTTTTCAATGGGTTAAAATTGTGAATTGGTCAACAATTCAGGGGTGGATCCAGGATCCAGGGGGCTGTGGATACGAAGCCGAGCCCCCCTAACCCATCACCCCACCCCCCAACCCCCAGGTGGGCTTGGGGTTTGGGGCCCACAGAAGGCCCACCGAAAATTTTTTGGTATTTTAGAGGGGGAACTGTGCCATTTGGTACAGTTTAGTACTATAAATCAGCTAGTCAAAATTCTAAGTCCAAGAGGGAAATATTAGAGTGTTGTTTTTTTTTCAGAAACCGAAAGGGGGGGTTAGGACCCCCATGACCCCTTCTAAATCCGCCACTCTTTTTTACAAGCCCACCAACCAACCCAAAAATTTTGGAAGCCATCAAGCAGTCTTTGGAAATATAGGATTTTTTCTGAGGCTAATGGCTGCCCAAATGACACATGTTGCCTCACTTGCTAATGTCTTAGTTAGAAGTTGAAAAGTTGTAAGTCAGAGATGAATTTCATCAGCTGTGTTGAGTTATAAGAATGAAGATGTCCTGATAGACATGGAAATATTGGAGGTAAAACTTATCTCAATATTAGCTGTTGACTGAAGAAAAAATCACATCATTCTGAAAAGTTGTAGTTGTCCAACCAAACTCACCACAACCGCTGATAAACAAGTGGTCACCAGAAAAGAGGCTGTTGGGGCAGTTGAAGGGGCTACCGTCCAGTATGTACACCACATGACCCACTGTGTGGCCAGGCGTAAACTTGACCCGGAACCTGAGACTGCCCACTTCGATGTTGTCACCGTCCGCGACAGGGCTAGAATAACAAAGTGTCACTAATAATTAAAGGTTTCAATTATGATATGTCCAAAATTTTTGGCTGTAGTATACCAGTACTATAGTACTTTTCAATGTGGATAAAAATGTTCAGTAATTAAAAAGTGATATCAAACAGTTATGCAAAAATTGCACAAAGTGTGTGTTGCTGACTTGACTCAAATGGATTTTTTCAAAATAATTCAGTCTGAAGAAAATGTGCAAGAATTTTTAAAGAAAATGTAAAATTGTAGTTCTGTGATAATATTTACTTTAAAATTTAGATCTTACATTCTTAATGATTCTTAACCTCTAAAAGGATATACATAATATTTTTAGTGTAACTGAGCTTCCACTTAAGCCCTGAGCTACAAGCACCAAGGAAATATATTACTCGTGAAAGAAAAAATACCCTACATAAAAAGAGCTGTTACATGGTAATAGCTGGTAAACTCTCCATGGAACCTTACTTGGTTACAGCTGGTATGCTATCCATGGCCCCTCCATAGATTAGAATGTCCCTGTATCTCCTCTTGAATTCACTGTTTCCCCCACTGTGATCCCTATAAGTAATACATTAATCTAAATATCAAACACATTTATTTAATTTAAATATTAAATACCAGTTATGACAGGACCCACCTTTCCAAATAAGGAACTCGGTTTGACAACAGGCTGGTATTAAGTTACAAATTAAATTACAAGTTAAATTTTCTTGTCTTTGAAGATTAAATTTCCATTGTCTATAGTTTCATCTCTGGCCAGTAATATTCTGATTCTCATCCAAATTGGCCTTTTCTGAAAAATATGAACCTTTTTATACCATTTAACTGACTCAGCTGGAGAAATGACACAGTCTAAATCAAATGTTGATTCAGAGCTGACCTCTTCTGGCTAAAAAGGCTGTTTTAAGCCCCCTCAATGCCCTATACTTATGGGCCTGCAATCAGTAGTTTTCTGCAACCTTCACAAGTCGTGGTGACTAGTGACTGAGACATTATAATTTAAATTTTTCGTCATTTAAGACTTTTTTTTTATGTCATAAAGTGGGTAAACCCTCCAAAAGCCATCATCTTTGTTCATATTCATAATGAATTGCAACTTCAGCCACAGAAAACAAAAACCTAATATCTTTAAAGGGGGTTACCATAATGATTCATTAAAAAAAGTAACAGATACTATTTTCATATAAAAGCAGTTTACCATAAATTTCTGTCACACTCACCAGTGTTTATGTGTTGTCAGGATTGCTGAAGGTGTCGCCTTTTCCTTGTCAATGTGTTCCTAGAAATTCATAAATATATTATATACTTTCATGAATCAAAACAGAGAGAGAGAGAGAGAGAGGGGGAAGAGAAGCAAAGGCACAGAGAGAGAAACAGAGAGAGAGAGAGAGAATTATTAAATCTCTCTGATAGATCTGCACAGATGGCTTAAATTTATGAACTGGCTTTGACCGCATTCTCAACGAATTGAGCCAGGCTTTACAAATCCTGAGAACTAAAAATGGCGGACGTACATGAAAGAAAAACCGCCTTATCTTTTAATAGTCTCTCCGCCTCTCACACGCCTCCCCACACGTCGTCCCTGCGGGGTACAGTAATTCAATCTCGGCTCCGAACATGAATATCTCCGTGAATATCTCTGGTGATATTATCTCTGTAGATAGTAGATTCATTGCTGCTCTACGGGCCAATTCATTCCTTTTTCGTCTCTGTTTTGAAAAATAATAGAACAGTAGAGCTTTTTTCCTTCGATTGCCTTCAGCCGCCATGCTTTCTTCACCACGAGTTTAACTGATGAGCATGCGCATTTAATATTTCTCAGGTAGCTTCCGCATGGCGAACGGAGCCGAGATTTAATTACTGTACCCCGCAGGGACGACGTGTGGGGAGGCGTGTGAGAGGCGGAGAGACTATTAAAAGATTAGGCGGTTTTTCTTTCATGTATGTCCGCCATTTTTAGTTCTCAGGATTTGTAAAGCCTGGCTCAATTCGTTGAGAATGCAGTCTTTGAGTAAGGAGATGAAAAGAACCATATCAGGTCTGCAGGGAACAGTTTCAAAAAAGGGAAAGGGGCTTTTTCTAAAAAAAAGTGGACCTCCCCCACCACCCCCTTAGTTGACCCACCTTGAGAAATTTCATAAAACCTTGATCAACATAATTTTAATTGAGTGAAATAAAGACAACAAGAAACGGCAATGAATATCATTTTATCTTTGAAACAAATGAATAAGATTTGTAAAACCTTATGCAAATATCCCTTGGTTTCAAATAGTACTTGATTGTGTGGTATTTAAAATCTCCATATGATGATGTCATTTAGACAGGTCTAAGTTAGTCAGGATGTGAACAGGTCTTGTCATACCTGGACGACTTCGGGATCTGCAGGGTCCACTAACACAGAGACATCATTTTTCTGGTCAATGACAAGATAGGCATAGTTGTCTTCTGACATTGGAATTGGATGGATCTTCAATCCTAGAAAAAAATACTCACTGGATTTAGATAAAATAGTTCCAAATTATAATAACAATAATGATAATAATAATAATAATAATTGACACCTTCCCTGTCTTCTGACTATGTTCACATGAACAGATTAAAATTTCGATTTCACACTAAAAAAAAATTCATTAAAATATGTTTAATTGCCTTTTTGAAGTCACCTAATCGATATATATATATTACTGTCGCGAGCTCAACAACTGGTACATTCATCATCAATCTAGATTACAAACTTATTTCTTTTCTTTTCATTATTCTTTTAATCTATCCTTGTTCAATATAAAGTCCCTGTTTAATTCAATCTAAATGCTGAACTTGCCTGCTCACAGTCACAGAGCATTTTAGTAAGACACATAGGTGCATGGATGACAATTTTAAAAACTGAAAATCCTAAAAACATAGCTTTCAATATACAACATCTCATCACATTAAGACCATACTGGTATATGAAAAAAATCAAACTGAAGACCGAATACCCTGAACTCAGGCATGAGCCTGAAAACTTTCACCCCTGCAGGTGCATAAAGGGCCACTGTAAAACAAACATATTCCTAACAGTGGCCTTATTCTATTAATTACCATCAAACTGAGTGTCCTGTGTAACAGAATGGCCATGTTCAAATTTCTGTTTGGCTTTGGACAACTCCCTCTGGAAGTAGTACTGACCAATTCTTGTGCGAGAGTATAGGAAATACCTGAAAAGTGAAAACTGCAATATAATCATAAAAGAAGCTTTATTACATACACAATTAATACTTGTATATGGAGGAAGTGGTTATATTACTCAAAGATAAGACAGGTCCGTAGACCTTCACATATATACATGGTACATGTACCGGTACAAGGCACAATCATCAGATCATGGACTTTACATCTAACTGCATCAAATAAATATATAGATATTTTGATGGATAGTTAGCAGCACAACTACACAATACACATAAACGAAGCATTTTATCACCACACCGTAGTAATGTTTGATCCACTCGCCGAGTCACTTGCTCACAGCGAGTGGATCGCAACTAAACATCAGGGATTATTAGTAGAATAATAATAACAAAATATATGTAAAACTGAAAGGTCATTTTGACGGGGCCGTAGCGATAGTCCGAAGGTTCAATAGTCCGAAGGTTCATTGGTCCGAATGTTCACTATAGAACCTTCGGACCAATGAACCCTTGATTAAAAAATCGATGAAAATGTTACCACTTTTCGGACCAATGAACCTTCGGACCAATGAACCTTCGGACTATCGAGACGCCCCCATTTTGACTACTGGTAAGCATGATCATTCATATAGTCTCGTCACACATTCTTCTTCTTCTACTTTCATTAATAAAAACATTAAATGTAATGATAACAATAGAGTTAAACGCTGTGTAAGGAAATGTAAATGTAAAACTTGGCATTCAAATGAAAATCGATCTAAATTAACTTACCCAATTTTGAAAAACGGACTCTTAACGTTGCTCATTTTCTTAAATAAAAGAAGCACTGAGATCACTAGCCCTCCATAAAGCATCAAAGAGAGAGAAACCATGAATATCCAGAGATAGAAAGCTTTGATTATTCCGAGACCATAACCACAGTCATATTAGACCCAAGACAAAATAAATAGAATTTAGAAACACCCTGCACGGAATTCCCAAGATAGGCTTACATATATCCGGTCGTATTGTCGAGTATTTTATTTTGTCTGTGCAATTAGTGCATTTCCCTATTAAATCAATTATCCACTGAATTTTTTTATAGTAGTGTCTAGAAGATTCTCAATCAGTTCAATTCCTTCTAAACAACGGTTTGGGATAGGCTTGTCTTGACAACACACACACACACACACACACACACACACACAGTGTCGGTTGAGTCTGTCACCTAATCGATCAGTGAACCTAAAAGCGACGTAAAAGTACTTTAAACACTACACACAGCAAAATGGAAATAAATAAATTGATGAAAAAAAATAAATTGATCATTATAAATTTAATTAAAATTAAGGAGTGGCAAATGTAGGGCCTATGTCCGTTTAATTCGTTTAAAAAATAAACCATTTTGATCGTCGTCCAGGATTGTTTGAAGGGGGGCATCCGCGGATATGAAGCCGACCCTCACCCCCTACCCCACCCCCCACCCCCGTGGGGTTTTGGGACCTTCAGCATGCCCCGAAAATTTTTGGGTATTTTACAGGGCGAATGGTAGCCTACGTGCTATTTGGTACGGTTTATAGAACTATGATTTAGCTAGTTCAAATTCTAATTTCAAGAGGGGACCATTGGTGTGATTTTTTTCAGATATCGAAGAGGGGGGGGGGGGGTCAAGACCCCCCTGACACCTCCCCTAAATCCGCCACTGAGTAACGATGGTTTAATTTAAGTCCAGTCCAGTTAAGTAGGCCCTACAGTTTTCAACAGAGGTTTAAGGGGATAAAGTAAACGTATAAATGAGAAATATCTAATTTCAATTTTTATCTTATTGTCTTATTATGATTTGTTTCGTTTTTTCCTTTATTCATGCTTTTGGCATAAGAATAGCCTACAGATAACCCGAAGCCATGAAGGGAGGCGTCCGTTGTTGACAATTATCTATATTAATAGACGTTTTATATGTAAAAAATATTCATTTGTTTCTACTGCCTGGTAGAAGTTAATCAAGCCTTTTTCATATTACAGTACCTAATGCTGCTTTCTTTCGTTTCGTAAAATCACAATAACTTGTTTTTCATTTCTCAAAACATCAGTTGATTACAAAATGTATTTCATAGTGCTGAGGTGGCTGTACATGCTACCAGTACCAGTAACTATAATTCACTACAATCAAAACAATCATGCTCCCTCAGGCTGCCTCAAATGCAGTCACCCTACGCTCTATTACATTACCCACATTTTGGATCAGTGTTCCAATACACACGCACTGCAGTGGCCTGCGAGAAGTTCACGGCTACCTGTACCAGTTTAACGGACATTGTGCCCATCATAATTTTGGGGAGAAGGTATGTTGCTCAGAAATTGTCATCAAATTTGCCTGTACATTTCGAAGTCACTGCTTAGTGCTTATTATTCTTATTACAAAATTAAGTGATAAACAGAATTATCAAAGTAGAAAATGTATATATGTTTATAAGATATTATTATCAAATCTGTGCATCACTATCAAACGCCATCCCCTATGAACAAGTTGACCATTGGTGGCAACAAGAACGCCACCATGTGACTATATTTCACTGAAGGTATAAAAGCGCGAAATTTTGAAATTTCGTTCACTCAACGCAGGCAGATCTGGGACAACAAGAAGGATGCCATGTGCTGCGCCCCGCAAAAAGCAAAAAGGACACAGGAATCGACTCACATTTCTCCAGATAATTTCCTCTTCCAAAGTCAGCGCATCGCTCATCGGCGTACTGTTTCTTGCGCACACAGTCGTCTGGACGGTGGATTCGACGCTTCTCTAAGCTGGCCAGCTAAAACCTTCGTTTCTCTCCACGAGGAATCGTCGCTCAGGAATCTTCGCAGGAAACATCATCGGTTTTCTACTGTTCTCAGCTTATTGTTGTTGTGCAATTGCATATATTTCCATGCATTCCAGGTTTCTTCTTATTTCAGGTCCAGGAAGCAGAGGGCTGACATAGGTATGGAAAACTCATTAATCTGTTTTTCTTTCTGTTAACAGAACTCCATTATGGCGATTCTCGTTAGAGCTCCCACTACAGCAAGGAGAAGAGGGACACCACCAACGCTTCAGCTACTTCCATCAGTCCTTGTTGCCAGCGAGTTCTGCCATAGCCTGCGAAGTGGCTGCATTGGGGAAGCGTCTAGCGAGCCCTGCCATGGTCCGACTACGAAGTGGCTGCATTGCGGGAGCGTCCAGGGTATGTGGTGTTTCACTGAAATAGAATTTAGAAAACCCTTAAAGGTAATCCGTGTTGTTGGGGAGAGAAATAGAATATTCAAAATGATTTTTTTCAGTTGCAGTCTGTGCCATAAACTTTCCACCTTACTGGCAATTCGGACTTTTCGGACTTTCCTGAAATCTACTAGTCTGCATCAGGATTCAGTGGTCCGAATACAAATTTCAATTAAACTGGACTGCATTGCATTTTAATATTATTATTAACAACACGTACCGTGGAATTTATTTTAAACCTTGAAGTAACAGTTACATTGAAAAAACTTGAATCAAATCAATAGTTCTTTTGAAAAAAATCTAATGGTCATAACACTAAGTTTTACACATTCTAAAAATTTACTCTCTTTACTTGTCCAAGCAATAATTAGTATGTCACAGACACTGACTACACGGAAAATAGAGATCTTGATACAACAAAGGCTTGGTAATTCAATAAACAGTCTTAGAAATAATTGGAAAGTGTTACCGTTTTAGAGAACAAAAGAAAAGGAGACGATTCCCTGGGAAATACGAACGTGGAAACAAAGCGGATGGACAGCAAGAAGTGCTGTGACCTGATATTGTTGGGTTTGCCTTGAAAGAGCACAGACGATGACTTGCAGGCTTACTTCTCACAGATTGGTGTCGTCATCATGGCACAGGTACTCATTGCTACTCATTAAGATCACTGATACGGGTTTCACAAAAATGTTTTTAAAACTTAGTCTTTGATTTTAGACCAAAAGGATAAAAATGGAGCAGTCCAGAGTTAGGCTATTACTGGTATCAAATGATAGCAATTTCGGTTTTCTAAAAAAACTAATTACTGCTTATGCCGCAGACTGCTTTTGATACACAAGTTATGGAAATACAACAAACTGGACAACAGTTTACCTTTGTTCAGATCTTAAAAGTCAGATTGGTAGAAAACATCTTAAAAGTCAGATTGGTAGAAAACATCTTAAAAGTCAGATTGGTAGAAAACATTTTAAAAGTTAGAATGGTAAAAAAATCATCTAATCATAATTCTTAAGACTTTATTTGTGCTAAAAAGTTTATTTACATTTTGAGGTGAGCGAGGTTGATAACATTGAGGTCCTAAACTTTTTCATGAGTCAGTCCAATGTCCACTAGTCCACTGTCATTCAAAATGAATTCCTTAGAACCGTGACAACTAATGCCACTTTCATTTAAAGATTCTGGTAGATAGCACTGAAGAGCCGTAAGCCATGTACTGTTATGAAACGGTCACCACAAAAATTATTTCCCTCGTCCATTGACCACACTTTTGGGATAAACCACTTTTCAAAATTAGAACATTGTGAGAGGGATGTAAAGGGAAAAAACTAATGCTATTTATTCTTTTATATTTACAGAATTCAATTATGGCAAGTCCTGATAGAGCTCTCACTTTTCGTAAGAAGTGCAACAAACCTGGCAAATGTTATCACTTCAATAAATCCTGGCTGGTGATTCCTGCCATGGTGGCTGCATGAAACATCAGAAAAATATGGTGTTTCACTGAAATGGAAACCTTCCCGAGCCGTAAAAGGTAACTCATGTTATTGGGGAGCATAATACACTAAAGTCATTTTTTTACCTTACTGAACTTTTGAGATACAGCCCTTAGCCACATTAATTTTACAGCTCACTTCCACAAGGCATCTTCCCCTTGAGTTGGTTGGGTGGGGGAAGAGGTACAGAAACTAATGTCTTCTTAATTTCTGTTATTGAAGTAGAGGCAGATAGCATTGGCGAACGCCTGGCCTGATGATGGTCCACTTTCACAAGGTTAAAAAGCTATGTGGGATTTCAAGAGCTCTTGCCTAGTTGTGATACTATTGGGATTTAGCCCCTTCAAGGTAAGTTATGGGTAGGGGTAGAGGATGAACAATGAATAAAATTGTCATTCATTCTATAGATATTATAAATTTAAAAAGGGCTAATGCAAATTCAACAAACTGGGCATTTTGTGCAATGGCCTAACTACCGTTTTGAAACTTTGGCCTACTCGCTAAATGTAGACATTTGATTTTTTTTAATTAAAAATTTACTCAAGGAAATTCATATAATTAAACAGCTCTTTCAATTTGTCACAAACTTGCATAAAACATCACTCATGCAAATTATTTTGACATACTATCGGCCAACTTTCAGATCTTCCTTTATCCCTCTTATTCTTTGGGTATTATCGATGTTTTATTATTTCTTATATAGACGGCGAGAAGAAACTATATCCTACTTAACTCGCAGAATAAATTTTCTTAGAGCAAAAAGCGTTCATCACATTCTTCAACTTGTTTACAGACTTCAAGGGAAAGAGGTACACCATCTACGATTCATCTACGATCAATTCTTGGTGGAAGCGATTCCTACCATAGCCTGTCTACGAGGTGGCTGCACTGCGGGAGCATCCAGCGCGTCCTGCCGTGGTCTGTCTACAAGGTGGCTGCACTGGCTGCACACGTCCAAGGCATGTGGTGTTTCACTAAGATGGAAGACCCGTAAAGGTAAGCCTGACTGCAGACTGCTGACATAGGAAGGAAAAGTCATTAATCCGTTTTTCTTTTCTGTTCACAGAACTCGGTTATGGCGATTCTCGATAGAGCTCCGACTACAGCAAGGAGAAGAGGGCCACATCTACACTTCAGTGACTCCGATCAATCCTTGGTGCCAGAGTCCTGTCATAGCCTGTCTACGATGTGGCTGCATTGGAGAACCGACGAGCGAGTCCTGCCATGGTCCGTCTATGAGGTGGCTGCATTGAAG